CCATGTCTTCGCCCCTGACTCTGCGTCACAGCGTGGAGTGTGCCCCCTTGGGCCATGCATTGTTTGCAACGGCGGCCTGCATGACTTGATGTTGTTTTGCTGGTACACGCAACACGAGAAAGCCTTCGTTACACTGATATCGTGGTACTGGTCTAGCTCACTGATTGGATGGGGAGCAAAGGGATTTGTGCTCAACAAGCTGCGGGTAACGTGTAGTTCTGTGCTGCCGTAGCGAGATGGATCTATATTTTGTACACACGTTGGCGAGTCTCAGCATTGTGCTACGCGTCTCTAACTCGTCATTGCTGCCTCAACGGCACCGATAGCCGTGATATTGTACAGTACGCAAAGCGAAACATGCAATGGCCCATGGTATCTAGGGGCCACCTGCGCAGGCCACCTGGACGAGCCATCTCAATCCGTGAACACCCATCCCTTACCCCATCACGCACTGGCGTGGTAAAGCAGTACCTCCCCGAATCCACCCCTGGCCTCGCGTAGGTACATCAAGTACGCTAGGGTCCGTCCGACGGCCGGCTGCTTGCAGAGCTATCCCGCCCGAGGCGAGGCAAACACGGCGAGCAGCAGTGGAAACAGTACATGGCCCTCCGCGTCATTTGCACCACTGCTTCTTCTCTAAGGCGTCTTTGAGCATCCAATGAAGTTGTACGTCTATTCTCTTTGCATCGGCAGCTGGAAACGGCGGGTGCATGGTGCTCACCGACGCTAGTCGCCGTCATCCTGTCCGTCTCTATTGTCCAAGATGGGTGCCCCACCCCCAGATTCCGGGCCAAAGTATTTCTCTCTCCGACCGGCGGCTTTCTCAATACCAAGAATCATGCTGTTCTGAACACGGAGCAATCTCTTTGCTGCAAAGCTTATGGCGGAAATGGAATCCATGTATCCACACGGGTGGTCTGCTGCGTCGAATCTGCAGGCCTTCGATAATCGTATAATCGTGTCCTGCAACTCAAGGCTTCGATAGATGGCTATTTTTAACTGTTCCAGTGGGTACCTGTTGGAGCCTATCTTCTGCCGCGCCCGGCCTCTATACAGGCTGTCATCCTCGGAAGAGTCGAGGGACTGCGTCTCGCCTAGGGCATCGCTGTCGTTGATGAAGTCGACGAGGCTATTGGTGCTTTGCGAGTCCACACTTCGCTGACTACTGCCTAGAGCACGTTAGGTGGTTCCTCTTAGGAACAGGCTCCTCACCAGATAGGTTAGTGCCTTCGGCGTCGCTGCCGGCCCATTCACTCGTGGAACTCATCTCACGTCGTGTCTCGCTGTACCTCAAAAAGCGTCAATCTATGCTCGGGCGATGTGTTTAAATAATTATGTACGGCCTGTCCCGATACCGATCTACGTGTGCCCTCGGGAGAGAAAAGCCTATTGTGGTTGTAGTTAGCCGGGCTTATGGGCACGGAGCTATGGTGCCTCTACGGGAGGATCTAACGCTCACTCACCTCTGAAACAGCCTGTGTCTTCCTATACATGACTCATCGACGGACGTTGTTTGATTTCGGGCGGAGACCAGCCAGAAGTGGCTCTCCCGGAATGAGATCACAGCCCTATACATGATCGGTCTGTAGCGGCCGTCGTCCAGTTCAACAGTGGCAAGGGCATAACTACGGACCATACTATCCAGGCGACGTGCTCATCTAGTGGCCGTTTCAGGTCTCCGCTCATCTAGATTCCCTATTGTCAGTGAGAGAGAGGAATTCATGGGCCAAGTGCGCTGACCCTTCGTGCAGCACATCCTACACTCAACAGAAAGGAGAGGCCTTGTAGATAGCACGTAAGCTCGGCTACTAGGCTGAAAACTACTCTAGATGCTCTTCTTGGCGTGAATGAGTGGAGAGGAGTGAACGAACATCGCTACCCCGAGGCTCCTTACACCACGTAGGAGGATCAGCTGGGTGTGAGTAGCCTTTTGTATACATCCCGCGCTTGATGAATAGGCATTGTCGCGTGTGCAGCAGAAAGTCACATTACAAGAACTCCCTTGGGGCTGAAACTTGCTCTCTTTCTATCTAGCAGCAGGGCTCATAAGGAGGTTGCCGACATTCTGCAGGAAGAAATCTCAGGTAGATGCACCATTGGATAGCGAATCGTCACTTGCATGCTAAAGCTGGACGCTAGACTGGGACGAAATGTTATATTAGCTACAATCTACTGGCGTACGCAGACCACAAATTCGTAATTGTGGCTGAATAGTGTCATTTTACGTGGAATTTCATGCTGGTACACGTCTCACCGGCGGCGACCGCTGCTCAATACTCCCATGTTCCTCCATCGCGGTGTGTCTGGTCGCACCGCTTCATCTGCGCCTTCGCGTTGCATCGGTTCTCAACTGCTGCACTGCTTTCTCCAACTCCGGCGTAATCTTCAAATCGTTGGATGGCAGAGTGAATATTGTGTGCAGATCGGAGACCAGAGCGGTCTCGAAACACTGCTCGGGGCTAATAAAACCTAGATCGACGGATAGAAGCATCATTTTCTGGTTTGTCAACTCACGACCTGCCTTCAGCACAGCCGTAGGGTCGCCAGCGTCAACCTGCTTGATTGTATGAAACCTCCCGTCCGAGTACGCACGAAACAGAACACGGATAGGCTCCGGTGACGGGCTTGCCTGGGCACGGCCAGGCGCGATGCTTTCCCTAGAAGAGGTGACGCTGCTGGACTCGGTGATGGGCGAAAGCCCCGCCCGTACAGACTCTACGCTTTGTTTCCTGAAGTTTTGAATGCTTTGCTCGAGTGTCAAGCGCTCTACAGGCGGAGAGCACGTTCTTGTCGGCTCTGATAGACACTCTTCGGCCGCATTAGGGAGAGGACTCCCTTGTCTCGACGCTTTATACTCTAAGCCGAAGAAGGCATTATACTGACACCGCAGCACGAAGAAAGATGTGAGTTCCGGCCCACGCACGTCGAGCGATGCCAGGTCAGCCTGCAAGTTGCCGCGAGTGAGCAGCCCCCGGTCAAGCTGGTAGCTGTCCTTCTTCGGACGGCCGCACCTTCTGGACAGACGCTCAGTGGTATGTTTGACCACGAGGCTGGCCAGGGCGTCTCTGTGTAGGGCCGGCACCGTGTCTGTTCTGTGACAGCGCTTCGGATCGGCAATGTCGCCGGACCCTCTCTCCGTCGCATGCACAAGTCTCTGTATCTCCGTGGACCGAAAACCCAGCTGCTGCGCATACTCCGCCGCCTGTACTAGAATATCGTGCGAAGCTTCGGTGATGGGTCCTGCGAGTCTCTTGTTCGATGCTGATGTAGGGTTCGCCATGCCCTGGAGGTTGCCGAGCATGAATACCCATAGTTCCTGGATAGCAATGCCAGCTGCGGAGGCCGTGTCATTGCTCTCTTGTGCGCGTTCTACTGGCCTGTAACAGCCCAGCAACGCCTGACGAATCGTCTGGCCTCGCGGCGTCACGATATGGCGCATGCTGGTGGCGCAGACTTGGAGGATGTGGATGTCCTGGGAGAAGGTGTGTAGAGATGTTATAATCGTCTCGATGCTGAGAATCTCCGCGAGTGCGGCGCTCCGCTCGTTTGGAGTGAAGGCGCGGAAGATTATGCCCTGCTCCATCTGTTTGTGGATCAAGGCCGCATCGCTCGTGCAGAACCGCGGACAGCGCAAGTGCAGAGCCTGCACGTCGTCGGGCTCGAGTTTGGCTGTGGCCTCCTTGCTTCCCGCTATTCGTACCCAGAGGGCATGTGTATGGTCCAAATACGCCTTGGCTTCCTGCGTACAGCTTAGTCAGGACGGACGCCACTCAGAAGCGCGGGCAAGGTACCTCATCAGCCTTGGCTGTCAAAAGCTTATGTATGGTACTGATGAGTAGCCCCGACCGCATACCGGGTATATCGAGGAGAGGGTCGAGAGCCTCCTTCAAAAGGGTATTCTTCAGCAGACCGCGGACACAGCGCCGTGCGTGGTCGGATGAAAGACTGTTTTTCTGGTTCTGCCATGCCGCAAGCGCGCGTCCCTCGTCTTCCCTGTCCTCGAGCCGCAGTCTATAGTAGACCTCGGCATTGCGTATAGCTTGATCACGTAACGCGTGCATTGGAGATGCTCCTCTTCTGCCACCATGCAACGACCGAAGCGCAGACATTCGATCGTATATAGATACTTACCATGGGGCCGTGAAACCACTTCCTGTCGAGATGTGGGGCTTTGCCTGGAAGTGGCTGGCGCAGTCCAGTTTCGACTGCAGAGCTTCCTCCTTAAGATAGGCCTTGATAGAACTTTGTGACGTGCCCTCTTTGTCGACCACCACGGAGAGGAGGGGAGAATATGATCCACAAAGTCAGCCCACCGGCATTCTACGCAATCTGTACCGGTCTGTTCTTCACATCACTCTTTGTTATTAGTTGCATCCTGCCTCTTCTGCGTCGCGGTCTTGGACTCCTACTCTTACAGATCCGGAAGCTCGTCTTTCATCGATTCACCATCGGTCGTCATTCTCACATAGGGCCGTGGACGGTGTGGTTCACCCTGACGCACGTGGTGTACGTCGCAAGCAACGTCGCAGGCCTCTGCGTTGGGGCCCAGTCGACAAGCTTATATATGTCGCGAGCAGGACAGCTCGCTCTCGTGAATGCGGCGCCACTGCTTCTTTCCATGCACCTGAGCTTCTTGGCTGACCTTTTCGGCCTTCGACTGAGGACGTTTTTGCTTGTACATCGGGCCTGCGGTCTCATGACCACAGCGCATGTCGTTTTGCATAGCATTGTTGTCGTAGCGCGCGGCGTCTCCATGGAAAGGAGCAACTCGGTTGATGTGTATCCCGTAACAGTTAGTGACCTGGTGGAATTTGGACGGACTCCGGCTGACGAGCACGCATTGTAGGCCGCCGGTCTTCTGCTCCTGTCAACATTGATCGGTCCTATCCTGCGCCGGCGGTACTACGAGCTTTTCGTACGGCTGCACCAAGCACTGGCTGGCGGCGTGGCGGCGGGTACGGTCATGCACTTACGGGCGGTAGCATGGTCTCGGTGGCCGTTCATGTATGCGTATGGGGGCCTCGTCAGTGCGCTCACGTTATTTCAACTGGGACGCACCATCCTCTACAACAAGCAGCTAGGGCTACCACTGCCGCGTATCGACGTCACGAGCAGTCACGGCACCGTGAAGGCAACGATCACGGTGTCCAGGCCGCTGGTTATCGACGCGGGCCAGTACGTCAATATCTGGGTTCCTTCAGTATCCCTGTTCTCGAGCCACCCATTCACCATCACATCCTGGTCGCCATACCCAGTCCGGCGGTTCGAGCTGTTCATCCAGCGGCGGCAAGGGTTCACTAGCCGCCTCCACGACCGGGCCGAGCTACACAGAGACATATCCGTCCAGTCGAGGATGCTGTTCAGTGGCCCTCACGGCTCAAGCCTGCGGGTCTGGGACTTTGAACATGTTCTCTTCTTCGTGCAGGATTTTGGCATTGCGGCCGCTCTTCCACACCTCCAAAAGCTCATACATGGACGAGCGCGGGGCCAGCGCAAGACAAGGCGCGTTCACGTACTATGGCATGTTAACAATATTGGTATGAGGCGTGCTGTGACGTTGGGTGCCTCGCTGACTACTGTAGACGCACGGCAGGCTGTCACGCCGACCATCAATGATCTATTCCACGCAGACGGCGCAGGAGAAAGCTATGTACGTTGACCATATATCAGAGGAAAGCAGCTGACAGACGCCTTGCGAGCAGATCTTCCACGTGTCTGTTTACAACGGTATTGAAATGGAAACAGAGACCTCGAGCCACGGACGCTTCACGATCCACCCAGGGGTGCCTAACGTCTGGGAGATCCTCAGCGCGGAAGCGAATTTAAGAGAACAGCAGGTGACAGAGGGCCGGACGACCACCGACGCGGTGCAAGAAAGCTCGGCGCTAGACACATCCCGAACCGGTATGAGGAATCATGGCACAGGTGACAACGAGCGGACCCTGGTAGTTGGCGAGTCAATTCTGATCCTCGGCCCTGCATAGTGGCTTTGCTAACTGCGTTTAGTCTCGGCCAAGGGAGCGTTGCGTGACGAGGTCCGCCTCTCTCTCCGCGGATTCCTTTCAAGGGGGTTCGAGTTACAAGATCTTGATTTTCAGCCTGTTTGACGCTGTGGGGGGGCTATCACGCAGATTTATGTAGGATTCGCACAGCTTCATACGGCATGAATATAGACGCTACCAAGTCGCGCCTTCCATGTAGCATGCCGTAGCATCGCACGAGATCAGTCACAGTGAAACAGTACCTCGAGCATGCTTTGCAAATGGACAAGAATGATAATTATGCCGGTAGCTTTGCGTCATGCTCGAACAGCCGCGAATCTCGCTAGCTTTGTGTGCTTCGAGGGCCGATAGTCGCGTTTCGAGCGCAACTTACCATGAGACTAGACTCAGGGCCGACTCAAACAACCATCCTAACGCTACTACAATCTGGGAGCAATGCACCCCTGCCATGCCGCCACGGTAGGATATCGAAGGCTGTGAGGAAAGAATAGGTTTGGAAATCATGAGAGGACTAAGAAAAATTTCAGTGCTTGGTGTCTATAACGACTGCGCTAGACGCGTGATGCTCCGAGTACCCATGATGCCCCCACGGCCAGATTCTGGCAGCCAACGCGGATGTGCCGAACAAGCTGTGGCGCTATGATATGTCTCCGAGGACGTCCAGCCATTCTGCGCTGTTCTTTACGCCCTATAGAGTGACGGGTGCGGGCATGCCTGCAAGATGAAGCAGGGGTATTTCATCTTCGAGCTCCCACGTGGGACAGCCGTAGTCTCTCCACTTCACGCCTAGGTACACGTTGCTACCCGCCGACTCATGCATCCCGAGGATGGCTTCGATGCGATGGGTGGAGTCCATGTTGCTGATGCGCGGGCGAGCCTCAAAGTCTCGCCACAGTGTCAACTCTGTGCCGGTGTCCAAAACCCATAGGAGACTCTCCACATCCACCCAATCCCAGAGCTGATCCACGGTCTCGGCCCGAACGCCATGGAATATATGGCTGGACACCCGAATGGTCAATAGGACTTCTAGAATGACGACCTCGGGCGACCACGTCGTCCGAACGTGGCGCCCGCGGTGACGTCGCTGCGGCGCGAGGACTTCCATCAGAACACGTTTGCACGTTTGCACGTTTGCACGTTTGCACGTTTGCCACGTCGACGAGCGCAGAAGAGTGCTATTATATAGCAGAAGCACTAATTCTGCCAGCGGCGTTTACTTATATGATGTGCCTTTGCTCTCGCCGGCTGGAAGTAGATTGCTAGTGTATCCGACCACAAGTGAACAAGTGGCTGTGCCCCCGAGTATTCACTGCGATAGCTACCGCGTGCTTTTATCTCCATGTAGCCCTTAGCGTCGGAGAGGTGCTCGATATTATTGGTTTCACGTTCTGTACTACAGTACGTCCTAAATACAATGGTCAAGTGGCCACGTACGGCAGGACGAGCAGTGGATGGAAGATGGCGCTGCCAATATCTGGTCCACGGCACCGGCCAGCGAAATATCCACGCCGCCGCTACTCCAACACCACCGCCTTTGGAGAACTCGTCGCCCGGACAGGTATGATGTGTTTGTCATTCCTTTAAATTATGCCGTACGAGCCGTATTTGCCTGAAATATGCCTTGTCAAATCGATAGCCTCCGACATATGCTCCAGACGGGCTCCTCGTCCGCATCAAGAAAACGTGCCTCACTGCGACCAGAGCTATGGCACAATGCTGTATCTATCTAGACGAGCTCTAGTCAAGAAGAGAAGAGACTGGCGATCGCAGGATTACCTTGCTTAACCTGTCAGACTACTATACTAGAAGTTGGAAACCATACGATGCATTACGGCTTGTAGTGGTAGTACCTCCGCACGGACAGCTGAGCCGTGTGGAAGAGATCGCAGAGGATCTCTTTCGGCCACCGAGAATCCTTCTCCCATATCTGTACAAGGAAAATGTTCTGCTCCCGTTAGCTCTGCGCGTCTGTGATCGGAACGACTGGTTATAGCCCACCTTGCGCAGTCGACCAGCCCTATCCGATGAGGTGATAGCCGATAGAAAGTCAAGGATGCTCGACTCCTGCCAATCGCTGAGGTCCTCCACGCCCACCTTTCCCTCCTCTAACGCGTACCCTTGCATGAGCTTCATGGTGATTGTGCCAATGTCCGTGAGATTCTGTTGCTGCTCCTTCGAGCTAGCAGCACGGCAGAGCTCCTGCATGCCTACTTACACAGTCAGCCTCCATGTTGCAGCGGGTGTTCAGCGCGTACGGACCGATTTTAACGTCGCCCGCCATCTGAACGAGGATCGTCTCACAGCTCAGACGACTATGACACCAACGATGGGAGTCGAGATAATCGAGTCCGTCTAGGATCTAGGCCCGTGAGAAAAGAATCGGGAATTACGCGGCGCGAGACTCCCATACCTGCCCTACGATCGTCCCTACCTCGTCGCTGGTCCGTCGGCGCGGGCACCGTATTACGTGATCAAGGGGCATATGCATATCCTCAAAGACGATATAGAGTATCTTTTGGCCTTGGAATGCCTCAAGCGCAGCAACAATGTTGGCATGCCGCACCTCACGCAACCGGGATAGCGTCTCAGTATCCTGGTTGCCGCGGGGGAACCGCCTCACGCCAACGCGACTCATTGGGGCCGCGCGCTCGCTCGCCACGATGACTTTGTCGCCCATGTCTAATAGGGATAGTATCGCCTTGTACCGCCTCCATGGGCTTCCTGCCTGCAGTGGTAGTGCAGAGTCTGTGCCGGAAGAAGGGGTTTGTAGCCTCGTCTTGTCCACATTCGTCTCGTCGACCTTTCTCTCTTTGCGCAATTTTAGAGGAGCCACGGCGCAATCGGTTCCGGGAACGCGGCTGGTCTTGTTTGGTGCTTGATGTATCGCTAATTCATGATCGCTAATCCACATGCGTGTGGTGCGGCTATGCGACTGTTGCGCCATCGCATAGCACGTCGCAGATGCTGCGGTCCCTGGTCTACGTGCGTAGGTGCTGGAAGCGGCGGTTTGGTTCTTTGTATGTGGGCCTAGCCTGATGGGGGCATTGAAGGCATTTATGATACGTGCGACCATTTCATGCCGTACAGAGCCTTTGTCCAATTTTGCCCAGACTCCGTACGGATGCTAGGTCTGGCCTGGAGTGGACGACGTATCTATTGTGAGACCACGAGTGCGAGCGGCTTTGATAGGTTGCAGCCAGATCGTTTCCAAGAAGCTGGCACCATAGCATAGGTCTCACTTCAGGGGTCGTAAGGAGTGGGTCTGTGAATGGTTGCCAGGCGCGGCCAATTGACTACTAATGCTGAACTACATGTCGCTCCGACGTCGGCGTCCTACCCCACCTTGTGCTCATGGGGCCGTGCTGGTCCTGTTGGAAAGAACATGGTACGTTCTTTCCACCATGATTCCACTCTCGTTCACGCCTTGGTGGTGTGCCTCGGGGTCTACGATTATGGTTGTCCGTGTCCCAGGCTGGTTCGAGTGCACAGCTTTTGATGTGCTTCCGTGCCTTCGATGCCCGTACAGGCCGTTCGTCTTGGTTCGGACGGACTCGCCCAGGCGGGGGAACCCCTTGACCAGGAGCTGCCGCACAGCCGGGAAACAGGCGCACATCAAGCCCACCGTGACCTCTGTGGTGGACCAGAGACAGGCGGGATAGTAATCCCACGTCATGTTCGAGGTCTTCGCAAAGGTGACGAGGGATTGAAGCCGAAGGGCACTCACGACCGTGACGCTGCGCAATCGTGTCAGCGACAAGCCGTCCGAGGCTACACGGACGACTCACAAGATCCCAACGCAGAACATCAGGGCTACCCCAATCTTTTTCTTCCGATGGAGCTGCAGAGTGCGCAGCTGCCAGAGCGGCACCGCCAGAAGCCATAGATCGAGGGCAATGTTCGTCGCAGCGCTGGCCCAGGCCACAGCATTCGCATCCACACAGGAGCCCTGATGCATCCCATCCCAGTGCTTCCAGAAGTGATCGATGGGTCGGCACTGGAATACAGCCACGAAGATGAATGTCGCACCCCAGATGCACGTCACAGCGAACGTGCCCCAGAGTAGCCTCTGTACGGCGACAGTAGGGAAAATGCGGAGGTAGAAGACGATGACAGACAACTTCACCAGTGCAGTGTCCAGGAAGTACAGCCATGCTATCGTATGGAAGTATCGCAGAACCGCGGTGATCTCGCCTGCCGACAGGGTCCAGATGTCCCGGCCCAGCCCGTGTCCAGCCAGGCCGTAGATATTGATGAAAGCGCTCGCGATGATGGTACCAGTCGCGCCAAGGGCCAGCCAGTCATCTAACCATAGCGAAGATCCGACCACCCACTGCCGGCAAACAAGGCGGGCCGTGGCAAAGGCCACGGCCAGACCTGTCATTGTAGACGCCACCACGACAAGCTGACCAGATCGACTTCGTGCCGAGGAATGGCAAAGGGCAGTGGTGATATTCCTCGCGGCTTCCAATAGCTAGGTCAGCAAAGACCAGTCAAGTCTTTTCGTCACATACAGAGAGCTTCCGCAGGCGTACAAGAAACACCCACGCATGCGCCGAGGTACGCACGAAGGGTATCGCTCGCACAGATGCATTGGAGGTCAGCCGCGTCGCAGCTCTGTTCCAAGATACCTGCCGTGATACAATCACTCTTCAATGCACCATGTTAGCTGCAACTGTGCCAAAGCCAGCGGCAGACTCACCACGCAGATGGGAAATGCGTCGAGCGCCTGCTGTGTCGGTGGCTCCGCCAAAGCCATGCGCAGAGGCAATAGAGCCATAAGCATGGGCGTCATAGTACGAAAAGATATCATGATCTAAGAATCCACCCCGCTTGATACCAGGCTTGGTGTGTAGAAGTTCGTGCGTTCCCCCGGGTATATTTGGGAGGGGCAGGAACACTGTGCCTCACCAAGAGCAGAAAAAGGAGATGAGGGTCTTGAAGTACTCGCACCCTGACCTCAGAGGTCCGCGGTCTCGGATTCCGTGCCCAGGTACCACGACGCCGTTGCCTTGGCACGGCCAAAACAGACTAATGGAGGCGATCGCTGGAAGCAGTCGGAGGATTGTATATAGCCAGCCCCGTGGAGAGGCACGAGTAGAGAGCCAACGCCGCGACTGGACTCGATAGACATGAAGGTCGCCTACATCACCCCTTTCGTGGCCTTGGCGGCCGCAGCCTGCGTGAGGAAACCAGATGTGGGCATGTGGGACGTGAAGACGGGGGAAATCTTCATCGATGCCTTGTATGCGCTGAAGCTCAGAGATTATGACGAAATCGAGCGACTCAACCCGGGGATAGATATCAACAAAATCAAGCCGTCACAGTACACCATCCCGTACGTGGGTGACGTGGATTGGCCAGCGACCTGGGTTACCTCATCGTGCACGCCTACGCTGATACTTGACGGGCGAGCCGTTTCTGCTACGCCCACGGCCGACCTGGATCCCACGTCTACGGTGCCTGGCATAGCATCCTCCCTTTTCAGCATAGGGACCGCCCAGATCAAGAGCTCCGAAGCCACCCCTTCCCCTACCCACACACCAACGCAGGAATCAACGACCTCTCCGACTGACACTCATACCAGCGTGAGCGTGGACGAAAGTCCCTCTGCGACGCATACGCGTCAGACGACGAGTACCGCGCTCCGTTCTCCAAGCTCGTCTCCATCGAAAGCCACGCCGACTACTCTACATTCAACGTTCGCGACCTACAGTACGCCACCAGCAGATGCCTTTACTACGGTCTTGCCGACTGGGGGGGACGAACCGCGCGAGGACAATGAGTACTCGCTTCAGTTCTGCCGCAAAGATGGCGTCTACTTTACCCTGGAGGACACACATAAGCAGAATGCGAAGGACTTCTGCGAACAGTATAGCAAACACAAGATGAAGGAAGAGTCGGACAGCATCACGTCTCTGTACGAAGGTGACAACGATGAAATCTACCAGTACTCCGTCTTCTGGATCAAAGGATGCACATTCCACAAACAGCAAGACTTTACCGGCTGTTATGATCTAATGTATGAGAATTTCAAAGACTGCAACAACGGTGGCAAGGGCGGCACCAAGCGCAAAGGCTGTCTTTGGTTCGAATACCGCCCGAACTGGATGGAAGATATTTGATGAGGGGCCCTGCCTTTCACACGAGATATCTAGGGCCATTATTGGACGCGCGCTGCTAGCATGATTTATGCTGTGAGCACCTACAGTGAGAGGAACGGGTTCGGGGACCATAGAATAGACGACGGTAGGATAGACGGTTGAGAATGGTGAGGCAAGGTACATGAGAAATTTCACACGCGTTCTCTAGCTAGTCATTAAGTCAGGACGAAGCGCCTTCGTGGAGACTTGGCTTTCGGTACCATTGTATACTCTACAGACTGTCTATAAGGCCTACTATAACTTCACGACGTCCACATGTGTCTTCCTCACGAGCAAGCAAGGTCTCCAGTAGACAGTTCTCGGTATTTCAGTGGTGATTTCCGCTCCACAGGACTAATCCCAACCTATTGCAGGAAGAGCACAGGCGTTGCATCCTCTGTCGAGAGAAACAGAACAAATCCGTCGCCGTCGAAACGACAATATGCTCGGGTCATCTTGCGTGGTAAGTGAGGGACGGTTCAGCCCGATGCCTATGCTTTACAGCAGACCAGGAACCTCGTGCCCATTTTTGGAGTGGCACTATATTGCAGTGCAGTTTGCCAGCCATTTGTTGCGCTCCGAAGTCATGAATCTTTGTGCGTCCCTAAGAGAGCGGGATAGACTGGCAGCGGCATCGGCCGTTTTTTCAAGCAACTGGTACACCGTGGCCCATGACGAACGCACAATATTTCGCTGGTGCTGTAGCGCATCTCGTTTGCTTTCGAGTGCTCGTATCGCTTCGGCATGATCATCGTAAGCGCTCCCGAGGAGCTGCCGTGCGACCTCTTCCAGTTCAAAAGCGTCAGAGTACACACTAGAAACAGGACGCATCGGATAAACAGTACGACGATAGCAGTCGTAGGGAGGGAAAGCTGCCAGAAGAACCCTGAATTGATATAGCGGCCGATCTATTCGTGGCCCGAAGTGGCCAGACTGCATATCGTCGCGTGCTATCCAGGACGTGACGCCTTGCGACAAATTCTGGCGTTCGGCCAGAAGCCAAGGATTGGACGGTGATCGCTCAGCCATACAGAATCCACATCTCACAAGGCAGCCTCGAATTACCCTTCCTACCCAACGTGCTCATGGGATGCACCTTGGAATGCGCACGCCAATATTATTTGGCACCCGAGGACGAACTGCTGTGCGCACGAAGACTCGTGTTACGACCCAATATACGACCGCATGCGCCGCCAAGCAGCCCGCACGTGACATGATACATGGCCCACTGTTTTCCCCCAAAATATCAGGGTCATCCATAAAACACCATGATCCACTGGTATCATTGCGCAGTTTCATTTGCTTCGCGCAATGATCCCAGCTTCACCACAGTCCGTGTCTACCCAGCTCCCTAGCTATCAATATAATTGTCAACGCATAGATCACGCCTACTGCACTCGACTGTGAGCCGAATAACTGTTCGATTACTGACACCCTGGTGCTTTTCAACATAGTTAAACGACTAAACGACTTCTGCACAACCTACCCGGTAGCTAGTCCAGTCCCGAACGTCATAACTCGCCGCCCATAAGAATAACAGGCGATAACCAAGGTAAATACGGATGTTGTGAAGAAGGCTGGCGCGAGGAATAGGGAACGTCGCAAATACGGACAAACAGAGTAGAAGTGTGAAATTTCCTCATCACCAAACCAACGTGTGAGGCAATGGCGCTTTGGGCTATAGTATCTCCCACAGCTGATGCCTCTCAGGTGCTACGAGCTGTTCCCCTCCGAGGAAGCGCACGCTTAGCCCGAGGATCTCCGCTCGTGTACATCTCATAATCCGAGTCGCTCACATTCTCAGGCTTCTTGAGACCGTAAATATCAATCATTAGATTGTCCGCGGGCAGTGCACCCGTGACAACGGCCCGGCACAGGCGCTGGCTTTGCTGGAGCCAGTGCTGCAAGGAATCGGCCGAATTGTCAAGGCGAGCCCGCAAGCCGGTCAGAATTTGCTGTTTCCTTGATGCGGTCAACCGCCGGATCGACGGGATCCGGGGGATGGCGAGAAGCAAAACGTACTTGTCGGGCCCCCATGCTAGACGAAGATCACATACATCTCGCCAGAATTGACATTGCGTCTGCATGTCTCTCATCTCAAGGAGGCTTTGTCTGTCTACAGGGTAGTGCATAGCGCTACCCACCGCCTGGGCATCATCCAGCGCATCCATCCGTTCGCAGAAGCGCACGCAATTAAGCCTTTCGTGGAAAGTACTGCCGGTCGCGCCTCGCTTGACCGACTGCCAGAGCACGGCAAGACTAAGCTGACCGGAACCTCGTATGGCACGATGTGACAGCACGGCCTCGCAGAGATGTCCGAGGATGGTGCGGCGGTCGTCTCGCCCGGGCTGGACGCGCGTGCCAGCGGACAATGGCCGCACTAGTGACGACGACTTTGTGTGGATGGGCGGGGCCACCCTCTGGCGCAAGTTTGGTCCCTCACCGGCGCTTACCGGGTGCGGGGACGCCGGATGGACGTCCGGGGATGTATTTCGGGACGAGCTTACGCTCTTCTGGTATGGTTCAGTTCCGTATAGCGCGTCCGCGAAAAATTGACTTCCTGCTTCGGCCTCTGCGGGCGCCATGGCCGCGAGCGCCTCCGCACTAGGCTCCAGCTCACCGCATGTAAGCTCCGCTATTAAGCGCGCCCGGAAGGAGGAGACGAGCTCATTGGCGCATTCCTGACTCATGTGAGGAGCCCCTTGGTGAATCTGTCGGATGCCGATGAGGGCGAGAACGCCTGCATCATCAACGCGATCCTGCGACACCTTCGGCCCGGTCCAGTTGGTCACGATTGGCCGTGGCGTCGTAGCTAGATTGGGGATGCTAGCGTTGGGCCGGCTGTCGTACCAATGCACACAATCAGGATATGCAACAGCAAATGCCCAAGCGGTGCCGTCTTGGAATGGAATGATGACAGGTCGTTCCAGACCCTCATTGTGGATGTCTATCGGCCCCTCGTTGAGAGATCGAGTAGAGGCAATATCCGCGTGTCTAGTTGATTGTGCACGGAGAAGCTCAAGATACGCCTGCACGATCTCCTCGTCTACGTGCGCCCCGCTTGCAAGCTGGCGCATGGATGTCGGCATTGCGTCGCTGCCATTCCCGGCCACTGTAGAGGCATACTGGACCCATGCCTTGGCCGCTACGAGAGGTTGGCCATCATCCACTGGATATCGTATCTTGGTGGCCTGCCAAGCCGTCCTGATCAGGGCAATGGAGTCGCTCGACATGGGGCCGATGGTGAGTCGTCGAAGCGTAGCGACATCATCAGCTGACATACTGATAAAATCGATGCGGCGCGACAGACTGCGCAGAGGTTGAACGACCTTTATCGTGACCGACGTCCGGAAGCTGCCTTTTGTCCATGCCCGCAACAGGAGATCGCGTCATATTCCGGACTGGCCTCGCCCAACTATCTGTCGGACAAGCGCTGGGCATTCTCAGGCTATCATGGCTTCGTAGGAGCTTGAGCCCTAGTAGCCGAGCTTACGTGCTATCTATAAGGCCTCTCCTTTCTATCGAGTGTAGGATGTGCTGCAAGAAGAAGCGCACTTGGCCCATGAATTCCTCTCTCTAACTAACAATAGGGAATCCAGATAAGCGGAGACCTAAAACGGCCACTAGATGAGCACGTCGCCTAGATAGTATGGTCCGTAGTTATGCCCTTGCCACTGTTGAACTGGACGACGGCCGCTACAGACCGATTATGTATAGGGCTGTGATCTCATTCCGGGAGAGCCACTTCTGGCTGGTCTCCGCCCGAAATCAAACAACGTCCGTCGATGAGTCATGCATGGGAAGACACAGGCTGTTTCAGGGGTGAGCGAGCGTTAGGTCCTCCCGTAGAGGGACCGTACCCATACGCCCGGCTAACTATAACCACAATAGGCTTTTCTCTCCCGAGGGCACACGTAGATCGGTACGGGCCGCTTTCCACCACCGACGTGCAAAGTCGGGACAGGCCGTATATAATTATTTAAATATATCGTCCGAGCAAAGATTAACGCTTTCTGAGGTATAGCGAGATATAACGTGAGATAAGTTCTACGAGTGAATAGGCCGGTAGCGACGCTAAAGGTACTAACCTATCTAGTAAGGAGCCCGTTCCTAAGAAGAACTAGCTAACGTGCCTTAGGCAGTAGTTAGCGAAGTGTGGACTCGTAAAGCACTAATAGTCTCGTCGACTTTATTAACGATAGCGATACCCTAGGCGAGACGTAGTCCCTTGACTCTTCCGAGGATAATAGCCTATATAGAGGCCGGGCGCGGCAGAAGATAGGCTCTAATAGGTATCCACTAAAATAGTTAATAATAGCTATCTATCGAAGCCTCGAGCTATAGGACACGGATGTACGATTATCGAAGGCCTGTAGATTCGACGCAACGGACTACCCGTGTAGATATATAGATTCTATTTCCGCTATAAGCTTTATAGTAAAGAGATTGCTCCGTGTTTAGAATAGTATAATTCTTAGTATTAAGAAAGCCGCCGGTCGGAGAGAGAAATACTTTAGCCCGGAATCTAGGGGTAGGGCACCTATCTTAGACAATAGAGACGGATAGGATAACGGCGACTACCCTTAGTGAGCACTATATACCCGCCGTTTCTAGCTACCGATACAAAGAGAATAGATATAGAACTTTATTAGATACTTAAAGACGCCTTAGAGAAGAAGTAGTAGTGTAAATAACGCGGAGGGCTATATACTATTTCCACTGCTGCTCGCCGTGTTTGCCTCGCCTCGGGCGGGATAGCTCTACAAGCAGCCGGCCGTCGGACGGACCCTAGCGTATATGATTTACCTACGCGAGGCCAGGGGTGGATTCGGGGAAGTACTGCTTTAACGCTAGTGCGTGTAAGATCGGTTACTTACGACCGCATGAAGGATATGCTTGATGCAGAAGTCCAAACCCTCTTCGGTCCAGAAGGTGAAGCCGTTGCGCTCCAAGTCTGCAACATCCTTCCTCACGCTCGGGTCCGACAGAGGAAGAAACCCCTCTTTGTGAAGCGTGTCTAATGCAGGATCCGGGGGCAATGGGTTTGATTCCATGTCGATGTTGACCTAGCTGCAAATCATCTCTAGCATGGGAATCTAAAAGATGATAACCTCACCCCGCCGGAAGAACCTTTTCACAGCCCCGAATACGCCAGCCTTCTGCGGGGAAGGAAGAAAGTCGCGCGTTGCAAACTCTCGACGGGGTGCGCGGACCATGCTTACGCCACATTGCACTATCTGCGGATCGCGGATCGCGATGCCCTCCTCTCGCTAGGGATTGCAGCTCGCGATGCCCTCCACAAGGCCCGTTGACCGCGGCTCGCGATACATCCCCAATAGTCGTTTTTAATTGGTCTCACGAGATGAAATGCAACTAGAGTGGATGTTGAAGCTTGAGTATGCTCTTCCCTTGGCCAAGCCAATATCCCAAAGTGGCAAAGGTGAGGTCGTGTTCATGCGATACCCTCAGTGTTGGGAACTATTGGCCTATTACGGACACCGTCAAAGGAGACCTATCATTGCAGCCCAAGGCTGGTCAACGACAATACCTATCCGGATGGCGACCTCAGATGCCCAGGTCAACCGCGTGGAAGATACAATTGCCGGCTGGTGGTCTAAGCAATACTATGAAATTTTTATTGGCAAAGCCACGACATTTGAATCCTTGACACCGATCTCTCACAAATACCTGGCCTATCTCGGATTCGAGCCGCCGAACCCAAAGGAGTCCCTGACTGCGGCGCTCAAGATCACAAAATCTCGCAAAAGGCGGAGGCGTCCTGGACGCGTGGAGCGGAACGTGGTCATGTGCTACGTCCTGGGCGCTCCCGGCTCAGGCAAGTCGTCCTTGCTCAATGCCTTCCTCAACAGGCCGTATGAGCCCTTGCACTATCCTACCATCAAGCCGCGCCGCGCCGTGAACAGCGTCGAACTTCCCGGGGGCCGCCAAGTATACCTCATCCTCGAGGAGCTCGGCGAGCTCGAGCCAGCGATTCTGGAAAACAAGACCAAGCTAGATGCGTGCGACCTTCTCTGTTACGCATACGACTCCTCCGACCCCGACTCCTTTTCGCACATTGTCGACATGCGCGCCAAGCACCCGCATCTGGATGAGCTGCCATCCATCTACACCGGCCTCAAGGCAGACAAGGACAAGACGACTCAACGCAGCGAGCTGCAGCCCGACGAGTACACGGCCTCGCTCAACCCGAGCAGTGCATTTCCCAAGATGCAGTGTCTATTCAGCCTGGGAAAGAGTGTGGGACAATCCCGGATCTTGACAGGGCTGCTGTAAGCTCGCAGACATCGCCGGCGTGTGATCTATTGCCGAGTCACTAGGATGTGTCGACATTGCATCTGCTATCACCCGCTGAAGGGCTGCAGGCTGCCGTGAGCCAAAATGCTTGGTGTGGCACTCCCCTGTTGGCGTGTTTGGCCGGGTGACGTTGCATATCACTGCCGGTGCTCTGCAACTGGCAAAGCTCTGCTGCTCTTGCTGCCCATCTTGACTGTAACCAGATCCATATTCGGCCAAATTTGATCCGCAAAGTACTATACAAACTAGCTAGGCCTGACTGAAATAGAGGACACTCGTCGTGATGCGGCAAGCCAACTGGCTACCACCCACTTGTTGACCGATTTCACGCGTTGCTAAAACTTCCATCGCTTTGCCACGATACGGACAAGATATACAAGCCCGATCAAGACGGGCACCTCAATCAAGGGTCCCACCGTTGCGGCCAGCGCCTGCTTGCTGTCCGGCCCGTACGCCGCGACGGCGACGGCAATGGCTAGCTCAAAGTTGTTGCTAGCTGCCGTGAAGCTCTGCGTTGCGGACAGCGAGTAGTTGAACCCAACGCGGCGTGCCATCCAGAGGGTGACGAAGAAGACGAGAATAAAATAGACAATAAGCGGAGCAGCCACGCGAACGACCGACACGATCTGTTGGACGACCTGGCGGCCTTGCGACGCGAATAGCACGAGGACGGTGTAGAGAAGGCCGATGAGCGCCCACGGAGATATATAGCGTATAAAGACGCGGTCGTACCAATCTGCGCCCGCTAGCTTGCGGAGGGCGAACCGCGTAACCATAGCCGCCCCGAGGGGAATGCCTAAGAAGACGGCGACGCTTGTAGCGACGGTGGAGTAGGAGATGGTACTAGCCGCCGCGTCGCCGCCCATGACGCCTATGAAAAGGATAGCCATCGGGGCATAGAGGACCATTTGCAGGAGCGAGTTGATTGCCACGAGGATGGCACAGTACTCGGCGTCGCCGCCGGCGAGCCCATTCCATATTAGGACCTGGTCGAGAAAGACACGAGTTAGCTGCTGGGGTACAGGATCCTCCGGAGGCAGGTGGCGGAACATACCATTGCAATGCACCTGGCGAGTCCAACGAGAATCAGACCCTCTCGCAAGCCCTCTTCGTCGGGGAGGAAAGCCCAAGCCAGGCCAAGCTGTAGCGGTTTCGGTCAGCAGCTGAGCCGTTCTGGTGGAGTGACGCAGGATGGCAGCACACGTACCATGAGAAAAGGGGCAATGATCCAGTTGATGAGGATACTGAAGCCAATCTGCTTCCAGATGGTGCGGTGCGAGAAGACCTCGGGTAGCGCCTCGTACCTGACCTTGCACAGGATGGGGTACATCATGACGAGCAGGCCGATGGCTGCGAGAGGAAACAAGACATTAGCTATCGAGATCGTCGGACGGCCAGCGGCGTGGAAGGGAGGGCCACGGTACCAATGGGGATGGACACATCCACGAACTTGCCCTGCTGGAGGGCCGGGCCAATGTTGGGGACGAAGTTGCCCAGGATGATGCCAATGGCCATGGCAAGGAAGATCCAGAGGGCCAGGAGCCTGTCGAGCCAGCCCAGGGCTTTGAAGGCAGAGCTTTTGCCGGCCTCCTTAGCGGCCTGCTTCTCTCGTCCGCCAGTCTGCGGTGGCGGGAGGCCTTTCTCGGTGTCGGGATTGCGAGGCATCTCGTCGTTGGACAGCGTGCCTGTGCCAGTAGTGGGCGATTCGGCGTCCTGGGGATGATGCTTGTGGTGGGACGCGTCTGGCAGCGCGGAGGCGCCGGTCTGGCCAGGCGCCACGGGGCTGGGTCCGTCAGGATTGGTGGACATTGTCCTTTCTGCGGCCGACGAGCGCTCGAGATTCGCGACAGCTGATTTGGATGATGGCGAACGTGGCAAGACCTAGGACGGCCGACGGCCGACGACGGGCGGCGGGGATGGCCAGTAAATATACACGCGATCGGCTTCCAAGGCCCCGTCGGTTGGCTTGCACGTGGGCTTGTAAAAGGGCCAGGTCGGTCAAGGCGCTGCGGGTCTCTGTCCGTCTTCCGACTATCTACTAGTCGACGGTACATGTTACATGTAGGTAGGCCAGTCCGGCCGGGACTCGCAGGGTCCTGCAAGAGTTTTCCCGCAGGGACGCGGCCGGCCAATCAAAGGCGGGAGGTGACAGACACATGCTAGATTAGAATGAAAGGGTCAACAAGGGAGGCTACCGCCGTCATCGTTGCATGCAGCGACGGACTACAGAGTAGACGCACAATCATACCAGTCTGCATCCGGTGCGAGCGTAGGCTCCGCGCCGAGGCATTGCCAGCTACCTTGGCGATTGATAGTTCGGCACCAGGCAGTGATACTGGCAGTGATGCAAGCTGGCTGCAGAAAAGTAGTTGAAGCGTCGCAGCATTCTGCCTGGCTCGGGCCATCCGGGCGCCAATCAATCCTTCCTCGTGAACGCCCTAGAATCATGCACCGGGCTCCCGCGTTTACTTTTTCCTTTCCATCCTCGCAACCACTGTTTCCGGACTGACCCTGCAAGGGGCAGCCACTGGCACCGACAGAGTCCAAGACCTCGAATACCGGTCATGGATGCCGTCGCGACCCGTGGCACGCCGCCAGCGTGGTGTCCAGAGCCGCTGCTCTGCGAAAACTGACGTCCGGCCAGGTGCTGGACCTGCTGCGGAGCCCAGACGCCGGTGACAATGGCAATGGGCAGGCACCAAGCTTCGTCCTCGTCCCAGCTCGGGACCTGGAAGCTGACTTGGAGGCACCCATGCACGGCGGCACGATCCGTGGGTCTATCAACCTCCCGGGCTCAGGCGCCTCTATCGCACCACATCGCGGATCACGGGACGTTATTTTCAGATTTCAGCAACGGTAGCTACCGAGTGACGACTCGCACACAGTGTCTTGTCATTCATTATACATGTGATTCACCCACAACGCATCTCGAAGAAGCCAATCCCAATTGCTATGCCATGCTGTACCATGCTGTACCATGCTGTACCATGCTGTACCATGCTGTACCATGCTGTACCATGCTGTACCATGCGGTGCCCAGAGGGCCCCCGTGCCCTGGCTCCGCTGGCGCCGGCGCCGGAGTCAAGATCAAATTCGGGGCCGTGAGTGATCTGATGGCCGAGTGAATTTCTTACCCGGGACTTTTATGACCACACCTCTCCAACACCTCCAGCAGTTCCGCCAGAGGGACACGGTGGGCAGGGGGGACTTTGACATTGTTCCCGTCGTGAACCAAGTTCTGTCTTGCCCCGTCGGACTGCACGTCCTTGACCTGTCCAACTTCCTCACTGCGCCACATAGGGGGGTGGCATTGGGTCCTTCACATCGGGATCAGTATTTACACCAGGCAGGCAGGGTGTGAGGCCGTGGTAGGCATCTACGTACGTTGATACTTTGCATGTCTGCGTCCACAGCGGAGCAGCACACGTCATCTTCGGGCGCCGGTGACGGCGCGTGTCTCTGGCGCCCAGCGGCTGCATGCCACGAGTCTCGTCGCGCGGAGCACGGGTAGGCGACCTGGAGCGGGAAGAAGAGGTACGACGACTTGGCGTAGACGCCTCCAACGGATACCTTTGCGATGACGGCGTATGAAGAGGCCGCAAAGTCGCTGCAGAAACTCGGCTGCAACCTCAGGGGCGGCTTGATGGGAACAGTGGCAGTGGTGTGCCATGGTATGTCCCCCCCCTCAGTGTCACCGGCTAGCGAACGCGCCCCTTCCCGCACCGAATCGCCGCTCGGCCGGATGAGAGGAACACTCGCCGCGCTCCCCCGCCGTGCGTCTCTTATGCTCCACTGCAGGGACGAGAAGCTATGAGCCTCGAGTTGGGCCGTCTCGGTGTGTAGCCGAATTCTTCCCGACTCTTCTATAGAATCCTTGTGCGGGGTCCCCGCCAGCTTCGTCCCGCTGTAGTAGGTCCTGATCTGGAGCACTGGGTCGACCTTGATCGAGGCGGCCCGAAGACGATGAAGATCGGACGAGCGGCCGTCGATAGTGATCCTCAAAGTGCAGTATGTCGTGGAGAGCCGTTCGGAGTCATAGACTAGAGGTGGGGGCTCCAGCGTCTCGAACGTGACGTGCCCTGACTTGCGGCCAACGAACGACCCCCAGACGGCCTGTCTAGCGGAGAGGACATATTCGTCAGGAAAACAGCTGGTCTCAATGGGGGGCTGTGTCTCGATGTAGGGGAGACAGGTCAGGGGATGGAAAATGTCGGTAGACCTTGTACGGCCAGGCGCTGTGTCTCCGGGAGGGGCCGAGTACGCCACGGAAGCCCGCAACGAGTACGATATAAAGACTGCCGGTGGCACGGTCGGACTCCAGGCTGTGAGCGCCGAGCGCTGGATGTCGAAGGACGGTGGCAGCGGCCTGCACTTGTCTTCCGCCCGGTCGCTGGTCCGGTCGAGACCCGGGGGGACGACGAGCACAAAAGGGACCGTGTAGACTCTCTGGTCACCCTCCACTTTGTAGTTGTCATCAAGCCTTACGCGGTGTCTGAGGTTGAGAAACTAGGGGGATCCGTGTCAGTGAGGAACGCGACCACGGGCGCTTGCCATGTCCACAATGCGAGTGTAGACTCAACTCTTTCAGCGCTGAAATCTTCTCGGTACATGCCATCGCGGGACAACACCGCGCCTTGGGCCAGGACGGACTGTATGCCTATGTCGGACGCCGTTAGTGACTGCCCAGAGGACGTTGCGCAGGCGGTACCTTGCAGTGACACCTCGACCCAACTGCCGACCATGGCAAGCCCCGTCTTGATGTGGTATGATCCATGGAGGGTGTCGCCCGGGCGTACGAGGCAGACGCTCGACGAGTATAGGCCGGACGTGAAGCCACTCTCCACGGTGAAGGTGAGGCTCGAGTGGATGGGACCTTGGCCCGAGGACGTTGTCCAGCGACGCTTGCCTGTTTCCATGGCTGGGCTCGCGGAGGCTAGAGCGTGGCCGTGGGTGTCCCAGGACGATCGGCAGCACGTATGCGGTAGGTCACGATATATACACACACAAGGAAGCCTCTCGGGCAACGTCTCCTCTCCCCTCGGTCAGACGGCTGAGGGCCAGTGCTTCGCCTAGTCGTCTGTCTGTCTGGTCGTCCCGACCCTTCGCTGATTCGTGTCCTAGTTAACGTCGGGCGCAGGGAGAGCGAACAGCAGGGGAGTGCTGCATGTCACGACCAACAGTTGATTGGACCAGCGAGCCCCCGGGGGCAACAAGGCGGCGCCATCTTCAGTCGGACTTGGCATGTCATGACTGGAGCCGTCGGTGTAGGCACTTGCTGGTCTGGGGTCGGGCGGGCGACCCACCTCGTCCACAAGCTTGTATTCCAGTCTCGGCGTGGACCAAGGGCGGGCATCCACCGGAGTGGGACTTGGCAAAGCGCCCAGACGGGACCCTGGATCGCCAAATGAGCCGACCAATTGCATCGAGGGTGTCTGTCAGGTCTGCAGCGCCCTTTTGAGCTTGTATGTCCGGCGTCGGTCCAATCAGGTGTCGATGCACTGCGGCTTGAGGTAGTCGACGACGACATGTGTCCCACAGTACCTACCTACCTCGCCTGGTACGCCTCACGCGACACTGTCGAGTGATGGCGTTACCATGAGCTGAACCATGTTCCAGCATTGGCGAGTACCTGCTGCGCTCTGCAACATATGGGGACCCTTGGCGTGACGCGCCGAGTTGGGGGGTCGGTGGGGATGGGATGTGCCATGTTCAACTTTACGTTCATGTTGATGTGCAAAGCTCGTCGCGCGTGCGAGGAGTAGTGGCATAACTTCCAAGACGCTCGCTGACCTGTCCAAGACCATCGGTGGCCCAGACATCGTGGTCACTCCACCTACAATGTGTGCAATGTGCCCTGATGCCCAGATCTTGGGGAACCTCGAGGCAGAGGCGACTCGGGGACTGTCCTCCCTCCATAGACAGGGCTGCGCTCGTCTGTCACAGGGATCGGGGAACTCTTGAGGACGAGAATCATGTGGATAAAGGTAGCCCGAAATCAAGGCGCTACCAGCCAGCCACCTGCGAAAGGCCTGGCTCACTCTGGCTTGGCCACCTCGGTCCACCATGCGCTCGTACCATGCCCCCGACCGTTGGTGAAATTTCGTTTTTTTCTCTCCTTCTTCTTCGCAGCGGAGAGTGGGCGACATCCCACGCAAGGCTCTACCATTGATCGTCCTTGTCCATCCCACGTGCCTCTCTCGGGGCACTTACTAGAGCTCGAGGACTCGTACATAAACCTCAAGGGCATCGCGTAGACGTTGAGACGAGCGCCCAAAGCTTTTGCTCTTCAAAGCCAACCTTCCATTCACCTGTTGCTGTCCCTCCCTCTTCGTATCCATCTCGTCCGTCTTCCTCTCGCTGCATCTCACCGCACCTCCTCCACCACCAGACCAGGACGCCAATCTGCCTACCATGGCACCAGCTCTGCCGCAGTACTGGTGGATCCTCGCCATCACCACCGTCGCCTTCTGTTTGAGCGCCTTTGGCAATGGCGCCAATGACGTAGCGAACGCCTTTGCCACTTCGGTGGCAGCGCGCTCTCTGACTATGGCACAGGCGGGAGTCATTTCCGTCATCGCAGAGTTCTTTGGCGCCGTTGTGCTTGGGTCCCGCGTGACCGACACGATCAAGAACGGCATCATCGGCCTCGGTCGCTTCCGCAGCAACCCTGCCACCCTCCTCGTCGCCATGGGCAGCGCCGAGATAGCTTCTGCGACCTGGCTTTTGACCGCGACAAAGCTCGGCTTTCCCGTGTCAACCACCCACACTATCGTGGGCGCCCTCATCGGGGCGGGCATTGGCGCCCAGTCCTCCATCACCTGGGAATGGAAGAAGGGCAGCGTCTCCCAGATTGCTGCTTCTTGGGTCATATCCCCGCTGATTTCCGCCGCCGTGTCTGCTATCCTGTTTGCCACGCTCAAGTACGCCGTCCTCGAGCGCAAGGATGCGTTCAAGAAGGCGCTCAGAGCCATTCCCTTCTACCTTGCCTTCACCGGCGCCATCCTGGCTCTCTTCATCTTGGTCGAGACTCCCGGTGCCCCGGCGCTGGAGGATCTGGGTGTCGGTGTCGCATGCGGCATCATGTTCGGCACCTTTTTCGGCGTCCTGGCGCTCTCCTACGTCTTCTTCAGGCCGTACTTTCACCGCGTCGTCGTCCTCGCCGACCCCCGGATCCGCCCTTGGCACCTGCCTCTCGGTCCCCTTCTGTGGCGGGAGAATCCGCCCTTGTACCTCCCTGGCAAGGCAACCATGCTGGTCGATCACTACCAGAGCGCACACGAGAAGTCGTCCACAGACGAACACCAGTCGCCCGTCCTTGACCAGAGCGTCTTGAACACAGGTGCGGAAACGGGTCCGGGCGAGGCGCGGACCCCGAAGCAGGTCACGGAGGAAGGCCATGCCACCGGGGACCTGGAACGGCAGCCTGCAGAGCCCGTTTTGCGTCCCATCGTACGGAAGCCCGAGCCGGAAGAGCGCTTCCTCGCCCCGACGGCCCATCTCCCCTTGTATCACCCCAGGAGGCTGGCCAGCTACGTCGTCTACTTTCTGCTCCAGGGTGTCACTCGCGACTGCGTGACGCACTCGTCCGCTCACCTGGGCGCGGTGCACGGCAAGGCGCCCCAGTACGACAACCGCATCGAGCATCTCTGGACGTACGCCCAGGTCACGAGCGCCATTATGATGTCCATCGCCCACGGCTCCAACGACGTCGCCAACGCCGTCGGCCCCTGGGTCGCCGTGTACGAGACCTACAACTCCGGAGAGGTTGGCGAGGACAACAGCACACCTGTCTGGATCCTTGCGATTGCCGGTCTGCTGCTCGGTGCAGGATTCTGGTTCATGGGGCACCACATCGTCAGGGCACTCGGCAACAAGATCACCCAGCTCAGCCCCACCAGGGGTTACGCGATGGAGCTCGGGGCAGCCATCACGATCCTGCTTGCGAGTCGCTTGGGGCTGCCCGTGAGCACCACCCAGACGTTGACCGGGGCCGTTGTCGGCGTTTCCTTGATGAACCTGGATCTTGGAGCCACCAATTGGAGGCAGCTCGCCTTCATCTTCCTGGGCTGGGTTCTGACCCTTCCATGCGTTGCCACAGTCTCCGGGCTGCTTACCGCCATGGGCCTCAATGCCCCAAGTTTCAACTGAGATACCAGCCTGTTGCGCCTAGAACACAATGTCAAGTCCTCCGTTGCGGTAGCGACGGCATGGTGAAAAGAAGCTCCTCTTGTCTGTCCTGTCCATCCGCGTTGTCCTTCCCATCTGCCAAGATAGTTCAATAAACCCATGGCCTGAGTGCCTTGATCCAAAACTCACTTCTTGTTGGCATTTGGAAATACTTACCACCATTTACCATCTACTCCGTTGTGGTATCTACTTTCAGGTCTTCGGAGCATGTCGCGAGTCATGTTGGCCGCGCGCAAGTACACACTGGGATCCACAAGTAGATTAGGAAGAGGACCTCCAGTAGGAGCACATTGGCTATAATGGCAACGATTCGAAGTGCCCGTGGATGGTGCGAGAACGCGACCTAGCGTCTTGGCCACTTCGGTGCACCGGGCGCTCGTGGGGCCACACCACGGGTACGCGTACGCACACGTTACTCCGAGGTGACGAGCAGAATGACAGACAACGTTAGGTGGCAACACCGGGTCTTTCAAAGTTCAGTTGTGATGTGCTTCTGGTAGGGTAAGAACAATTCGATTAAGCTATTGTATCCAGTATTTGGAACACTCTGGAATTCTGAACAAGACAGTCATCTGATTCTTTACAGTGCAGCAGCCCACGGACCCGGTCCGAATCTACACTGGTCTGCAGCCCGGCAATGATGTCAATTGCTGCCTTGCAAGACAGTCCTCTGTTCCAATGGCCTGAGACGGAAACAGGTGAGTCAGGTGGGCAAAAGCAGTCCGTCACCGGTGGGAGTATGTCTGTACGACTACCTGGATTGGGCAAGTCATCATTACAAATGAACGGGATGCTCGTACGGTCTGGGATTTGAGCGGTATTTGAATCGTAACAAGCACCCTTCTCGTGGTCGCGGTTATCGGTGGTGACACAGTCTGTCTCTGCCACATCTGCTGACGGAGCACATCTAGCAGGGCCTGACGGTGCCAGTCCGCGACTTGGTGTAGATGAAACGGAATTCAAGGGTGGTGTGCTTGGAGGCGAGGGCATATCGTCCATGTCGCTCGGATAGGTCGCGATTGCGTGTACCGTGTCGGTAGATGGCTGTTCCATCGCACCATGGCGTTGTCCGCCAGGCGGAGGTGGATCACTGCCTCTCTGCAGGGAATTCCGAAGGCCTAGGTTTTGTTCAGTGCCGGCAGACCCCATCAGCGAGAGGTGACGGTCAATGTCATATTGCGACACGCCTCGGAGATGGAGTAGGCCCCGGAGATGTTTATTCTCCAATGCAACAGCCTGAGCCACGCGCTGCATCTCAATACTGGCCTGAACGCCCCGACGTTCGTGATCCTGGAGCTGCTGTTGGAGCTCTTCAATAAACTGCCGGCGCCGCGCACGTGACCGACGCTGGTTGTCGCGATTCTGAACCGCAGAGGCCGGGATGCGGTTCTATGCACGCGGGCAGATTAGAGGTTGTCAATCAGCGTAAAATCGGCATAGCGTACCTTTCTAGGCATGGGTGATGTGAAGACGATGCTCGATGGTTGAGGAGTAGGCGCACGTAACGTCGAGTGTAGTCCGACAGAACGGAGATTTGGTAGGTTTGGCGTTGTACATGGTGAACATTTTGTCCAAGTCGGCCATGCCACACGAAACGAATATCGCCGGAAGTTGCGGGTGGGTTTCAGAAGTGGGGTTTGATGCCTGTAATCACTACCGGCACCACAAAAAGGATATCTGTCATGCCCTGATCATCATTGGCTGGAAAGGCCGCACCAGATCCGTATGTGTAGCCTCCGGTTTCAGCTCGCCACGCCAAGTAAACTCCACACCAGGTAGCTCCATATCGAGTTACTCCACATCGAGTTACTCCACACCAAACCTTTGAGGAATCATCATATCATTCCTCGGTCACCCGCTGCTTGACTCGTTTGTTGGTGTCATACGCGTCTATCCACTCTGTGTATTTGCGGCCAGCTCTCGCCCAGCCCTTGATGCCGCCTCGCAGATCAGCACTTTGCGTCTCATTATCGCCCTGGTGTGCAAGAACGTTTCTGGAGCAGCCGGCGGCTTGGTGTCCGCGTCCCTGAGATGATCCTACGGCGACAACGATTCGCGTTGGTCTGTGGCCAGACTGTTCTGTCAGCTTACTGCAGTACCAAGATGATGATGTGGATGTCAGCTGCCTTGCAGACAGTATACAGAGTTGGAATGGCCGGATACAGGCTCTGCACTGGTAGATTGATAGACCCACAAATTGTTCCTCCCTGCCAATGTTCCACAAGTACTGTCATTCAATGGCTCGTGCTCGCCCCTACTCTGGTGGTAAGATACAGCGGCAGAGAATGCGAAGCGGTCGAGAACTGACGTCGTGATCATTGCTGCGCAAGTCGACAAGAAGAAAGTCCGAACCTAGCAGCTCATTGCCGCCCTTGAGCTTCGCAAGCACTTGTTCCCGCGGAAGTGGCTCGGGCTGCTTGCCACTCGGCGACGGATATGCAGTATCTCACTGGGTAACAGCAGTAACAGTAAATTGTGCACGCAGCCTTTCCGGCAAACTCCGAAATCTGAAACGCCTACGACTCGTGATGAGGCTGTTGAGACGGGGTATCATGGCTAAGAATATTGGCAGTCAACTTCTCATCGCACCTACTCTCGGTTCCTACGAACCTGCAGGCTACAAGGAGTATGAATGACTGCTCTCAAGGTGCTTGCCGAAGGTCATTGTCACGCCCCAGCGGCTATTGGTGGCGGGGAGAGAGGGATAAATGGAATCGGCGAGTCTAACCTCTTCAGGTGACACTCGTGATGTTGACCGCCTAGTAGGGATGTTGAAAGGACCCCACCGATGGGAACATGTGGTGCAGAAGTCAGCAGGGTGGCAGAGTACCGAGGATACGTTTCTGCACTGATATACTGTCCTGCTCTCCAACAAACTCTCTGGATCGGTAGCACGAACGGCTTCGCGAAATCCTCTGAGCATCGTCGGCACGTGGACCTGGTGCTCAAAAAGGGGCTAGACACGACTGTGTTGGCCTCCGTGATAGACATGAGGCACGCTCCGGTCAGGTGGCGATCCTTGACCAAGCATCTGGGGAGTCTCCAGGGAGTGCATAGGTGGCAGCAGTCCTTTCTCCCGCGGATGATGGACTGAGTGGTCGGCGGATGCAGATTAGGGAGACGTGGTTGAGTTGGCTCTGCCCAGCTGATTGAGAAGTTGGCGGCTTTCAAAGGTCACGACAGGCTATATCCTCGCCATCGGTGACCGCTGGCACAGTTCAATGAACCGATCCAGGCTTCACAAAAGAGCGCAGGTTGAATCTGGGCTTGTGCACGGCCCTCAGCCGAGCAGAGATTTTCGATATTGTTAGTCACAGAAACTCAAACCTTGAGAGTACCGTGATCACTTATCCTTGCACTCTATGAGGGTTTCCATGGAGTGAGAGGTCAAGTTTGCACAACGAAGCTGTGATTCCTTTGTCGCGGACGCTCGCGGCGTGATATCTACCTACAATTTCCTCTTGCGTTCGGTCCAACCACGCGCCAGTCTGCATGGAAATGACACGGTAGATTTTCTTGGTTTCTATTAGTCCGCGGCGTAGGCACCCGATGACCGTGAGCGCCCGAGTGGCTGATTATCCTAGTTTGTCGAGGCCACGATCCGTCTTTGGATATCTAACAAAATTGTCTAGCCTCGGCGTTTGCTGCGTCGATTCGAGCGGCGGTAAGTGGTGGTTTACAACAACAGTGTATATACACACTGGCTCCACGTGTGTCTATCACGAACTGCCATGCTGGCCGGGCTGGGCACCACCAAAGAAGAGATTCTGCCATGACTTTCGATGAGACTAAGACAGAGTGTGCATACGTACGGTGGATGATTTAAATACGGTTGGTTGCCATCTCACTTCCCCGGCGGCCACATCACCAATCACAATTCACAAAGCCCAGACTTTCGTGCACAAGATATTGAATAAGTAGTTGGGAAGCCAGTGCCGCTTTAGGATTCTCATATTCTCAGAGGCATTCTGTAGGCTCAACGATGTACTTCGCAACCCGCCCTCGGATGTCGGTAACATGCGGTCCTTCACACCCGTAATGGTTTGATAGCATACACTTGGAAGGAGCCTGCGTGATCGTTCAACACTTGGAATCCTAGTGCAAGGTGTAAAGATTGCTTACCTGCCCATTCATTGAGGTCTTTGATACCTAGCTGAGTGACTAGCGTCTCGGCATCAGTTGGCATGGAAGTCGCTTGTTTCTGGCAGGCCTCTGCGGAGGAATCGGATTCGGGTTCGCAGCATGATTTGATATTCACCTTGGGGCTAGGCCCGCAGCAAGATGCCTCACCTTCGAGTGCGGTAACGTAAACATTCAGGTCGCTCTTGGTGTCGACGATGAGAACGTCTGGTCGATTTCAGTGAGCGCAACATCTTAGCTGAAATCCCCTCACTTACCGCTGAAGCTCGCGTTCTTGAGAAACTTCTCATACTCGACTGCCTGACTAGCTCCTGCGACACATCCGACATATAGAGCAACGTTGTTCTCGATCTCAGTGGTAAACTTCTTGCGCGCCAGAATGTCGCTGATAGCAACTCGGCCGCCAGGCTTAAGCAACCGGAACATCTCGTTGAATGCTTGTTGCTTCTCTCCGACGGGGACGAGGTTGATTACGCAGTTGCTAATGATGCAGTCGGCGGTAGTGTCTGGCAGAGGGACAGAAGTGATGACGCTCTCGATGAACTGGGCATTGGTGGATCCCATTTTCGCAGCGTTAGCATTGGCTCTGTCGATCATGTTCTGTTGAAAGAGCATGTTAGATGTCGAATGTCCGAAGAGGTACAGGACAGCTCAGCTACCTTGTTCATATCAATCCCAATAGCCTTTCCGGTTGGACCAACCCTCTTCGCGGCTGGGAAGACATCAAAGCCTGCACCAGATCCGAAGTCAATGACGGTCTCGCCCTGCGGATGTTAGCGCCATGAGACATAAGATAATAGAATCTTACCTCTGTCAGCTTTGCAAGCGCCAACGGGTTGCCGCAGCTCAACCCAAGGTTTGCGTCTTGGGGAATGGTAGCTAGTTCTTCTGCTCTGTAACCGAAAGCTTCGGCAATGGTCTGCTCATATTTACCGGTGGTGCTCTGAGTGACCGAGCCGTACCGCTTATTGACTTGATCGTAAATCTCCTTGGACTCCATGGCGAGTGGCTTGAGTGTCTTTTTGTTGTTCGAGGGGGGGAGGTAGGCGATGTAGACTCGTGTCAATCTCGTTCCGGAGCTGGTCTCTTATAGAGTTTTGCCATCGTATTGATGTCACTGTGTATCCTCTGTGGAGGTTGGGGAGGGTCGCTTGCCGAGGTGGTTCTCGCACTGAGTAAAATCGGCTGGTTAGGGAAATTCATGGCGTTGATTGCGTGGGCAGCCAGTGCTCCACACGGTGTAACATGCAGATTATTCAGCTCGTCTGACGCAGCATCGATATGTCACCATTTGGCACTGCTTAGACCGCTGCCCCCGCACTCCTCCCAATCTCCCGGGACCTGGAGGAAAATGTGCCAACGGCTCTCTCGCTCCGGCCAATCGCGCGACGCGGGTGAGCCGGGTGAGCCTCCACCCGCCGCAACCCACCTACATGCTGACTCACTCCGAGCTAGGCATCCACGCATCGAAAGCTGCAACCACTTGAAGTCGAATTACGTAGGCAGCACGAACAAACGCGTGACGTGCAGCAATTTATCAAAACAAAACATTCGGCATCCCCATTCGAAGGGGCGGCATTTCGCTGGCGCTCTCCTCCACCTAACACAGCCTGAAATGCCCGTGTTGCTGTCCGGTGTCCCGATTCCTCCAAAATAGGTCACGTGCTGCGGGGTCTGCCACACATAACCCACCCTCACATCCGACGACCAAGTACTGTTCGCCTCGTCTATGAGTACCTCAGTCCTTGGAACAACTTCGCCAGTCCTCTGTGTGCTGCATTGTCCTGACTCCTGCATCGCGGCCTGGTCGCCCTTGATCAATAACAAAAATGCCTCATCGGCAAAACGCGTCACGCGCTGGACGAAGTCGACCAGAGGCCCAGAACCCGCTGCGCTGCACGCCTACCGACGCGTCTACGTCTTTCGTTTCTGTTGTCGGTGCAGGATGGCACTACTCCGAGCTACCCTTAGCTGCTTGCTTTCTTGAGCACGACCAAAAACCGCAGCAAGAAGGCATCGTCGTCGGTCAAAGCATTCTAACGACCGCGTGCGTCGCCTACGGAGTGCACGATGGGGGGATAGCCAACACGAGCTGAATCGACGACCAACAGGCTCACATTATTACATGATGCCCGAACTCCTGGTTGCGCGGAGCGTTTAGCCCCTCGTCCCATGCTCCTTCTATTTCAGCGGTCGAACACTCACACCACTACTACGAAAGTGACGAGCCATGGAGTATGCAATGAATCACGAGGTCCATCTTGGCTAGGGGCCAGACGGGGTTTGGGAGCGGTCGCCGTCGCGGTAGATGATCCTCGAGCCGGGGGAGAGGAGTCTGGAGATGATCGGATCGTCATTCCACCAAGCTTGTGCTGAGGCGATAGGGCCGATCAAAGGTCGGCAGATGCTTGACACCGGCAAGATACCGTCCCGATGCAGGCGCGGCACGAGTTGAGATCTCCCATGATCGTGATGTTACTGCTGAGACCCTCCAGACAATTTCCCCATGCAGGCGCGGCTCTCCAACAAACCCCGTGGCTCCGCAATACGAGTAGCTTCGCGAACTTATCTGAGCATCGCAAGTACGTGGATCTTGTGCTCAAGGAGGAGCTAGGCACTATGTATATCGGGCTCCGCGATTTCCACCAGGCATACTTTAGATCTATGGCCAGCCTCAAGGAAGCATCCGAGGCTGTCTTTAAAATTTATTTGAATAGTTAGCAACCCCCTCTTTCATAAAGGGTGGGCCGGTTGGCCGACGAATGTAGTGGGGGAATGGGGGTAGAGAGACGAGGATGAGAGGGAGATTGTCGAGAGGTAGAGGGAGACCGGTGCTCACATTCCTTCCGGAACATGTGTTAGGGGCAATAGCATGTACGAACACATGCACCGACATCGCCACTTATCCATAGGTTGCTTATAGGGTTAATCAAAAAGATCAATTTAGGTCCACGTCGAATCCGCAAACCACCAACACTACCGACACCACCAACACCACTAGTCGCCATCTCATTATCATTCACATCGTCTAAACTCCTCTATGCATTCGCCGTCGATGATCCTTAGAGATAATTCCTTATTTCTTCTAAAGAACAGATCAGTCGACTCATTAAACGGGATAGAGAGGCTACTCACAGGGCAGCTGGCGCAGTTGCAACTAGAACCGCAGTTACAAGTGCCGGAAGAGCTGCAGGGGCAAGTGCCGGTAGAGCAGCCACAGTCACCCATGATGTCGGTTGTTTGGCTGATGTTGTTTGTGTGATTGGGGATGTTGGTCTTGTTGAAAATAGGTGGTGGTGTGAGTGCTGTTGAGAAGGTTGATATAGAGTGAATCGTTGGGAGAGGAAGCCCAGGTTTTTATACCCCATCCCGCCCGCTGCCACACGACACGGATCCGTGGTAATGACGTTTCCTAGAAAGGCCGCCCGCCCGTGCCTGCGCTTCACCTAAACTATTTCTTTAGGCTCACGTAAACATGTCGTAATGAACCGATTCTCTCGGTGCGGGGGTGGACACATAGGGAAGCGGCGTTTTTGCGATTAGGAAGACAGTGAAGTGGCTGATGTCATGCGAGGTTCCACGCGATAACGACGCAGAGGGAGGGGGGCTGGATTCCTGGGCGAACGGCAGAATGGTGGCGCGTCTTCTCCTTATGTGCTGGAAGCTTGAGCTGCAGTATGACGGACAGCCGCCGGAGAACATCCATTACGATGGAGTGGAAATTGTCCCATATCTAGGAAGCTGCACATGCTAATTGACTGTACTGTACAATTATATGTAATGAAAAAGAATATCAGCCAGTACAACAGACATAGACAAGATCCATGGCAGTAAGTTTAGCTATGAATGTCACCACGCCGTGTGACCGCCGTCCACGACCAAGTTGTTCCCCGTCATGAAGCTGCTCGCCTTGCTCAGCAGGAAGAGCGCAGCGCCCTTGAACTCGCTCGTCTCGGCAAGCCGGCCCATCATGTTCTCGCGACACCACTTGTACTTGAGACCCGGCTCATCCTCTAGGTTCTTCGCTACCATGGGCGTTAAAATGTGTCCTGGACTGAGGCAGTTGACGCGGATGCCGCCGCTGCCATCCTCACGGACAGGACTCCATTCCATGGCCAGGTTCTTGGCGAGCTGGATGACGGCTGCCTTTGATGAGTTGTACACAGGTGAAATGAGGCCCTTGTTGGCAATAGTCCCAGACCTACTAGCGATGAGGCAGATACTGCCGTGGCATTTGTACTCGAGCATCTTGCGGGCCACGGTCGTGGCAGTCGCAAAGACGCCGGTGTAGTTGATATCGAGCATTTTGTTCACGTCCTTGAGGTCGTATTCGGTAGCCGGAGCGACCTGCTGGACTCCGGCTGCAGCAATACAACCGTCTATGCGACCGTTCTCATTGGCGATTGTGTCGACCAAGCGATTTAGACCTTCTATGTCTTGGAGCTGCACGAGTATACTAGCCTCTTCGCGTCCGAGCTGATCATACATTGCCTTCGTGTGTTTCCCTGGTAGCGCGGCGTCGATTCGCTTCGAGTACTTGCCAACCAAGTATTGATTCGTATTCTGAAATACTTCGTGGAGGTGGCAGCACGTCTACCTACATAGACCCTCTACCTTGCAGCCCCTTCGATCCTATTGCGCTCCTTGCGGGGCACAGCCGGTTCGCAAGTCAATACCAGTTTGCTCCTTAAGCCCACTCGGAGGCTCCATCCTCGATGACCACCTTCAAGATCCCGTCCTCTCAGCAGACCGACACGCGCGTCCGTCCTCTCGAGTCACATAAAAAGTCTCGTAACTGCGATCCGCCCATCCAGTCTTCCGTCACTTCCATTATGCGCTACGCCCCGCAGATTGTCAGATCTGTTTCGCGCTACCTTGCAAGATCTCTCTCGCCAGGCCGACCGTGTCTGGCAGGAGTTGTCCACTTATATCCCTTCTGTAACCGGAACAGCCAGGCAACACAGTGTCGTCCCTCCTACTAACCAAAGTGCTTCGTCGTTCTCTGTGTGAGTTCGACCGCGCCGCTTCCTGCCGCTCGTCGTCGCTATGACTGTCCACTTTCCTGCCTCATAATCCGACGCGTCTCACCTTCCGACAGAGCAGCCTGAAAGCACCTCAAGGAGTCCTATTCCACAACCCGTGTGCCCATCGTTTGTAGGCTTGATTCGCAGTCGTGGGTCGGGTGGTTTTTAAAGTGTTCCCTCGTGGCTTGTGGGTGATAGGGCTAGCGAGCCCTACACGCACCCGTAGCCCAAACCAGCGGACAAGGGCTGGTTGGCGGTGACTCTTCTTAGCTCTTCAAATGCCCCCGGACAAAGGCATTCGCAGGTTCCCAGCCAGCACCACGAGGAGATGAGAGTCGTCGCTGGCCCGTTTCCGGTACAGTGATGCTCAGAAACGGCTTCCTCCTTTCTCTTTCTCTTTCGCTCCGTGGGCTTGGTGTGGGGCTCAAAAGTACACCGAACTACACAAGGTTACTTGCAAGATCGAACCTGCGGCCAAAAGCGGCTGCGGTACGCCGGTTTACCCCGAACGAATATCCAGTTCAGTGCTAACAATGAAGTACTCGTGAGTACTCTTCGGTAGGCTGGGACGTGGCGCGATTACACAAGGAATCGACACAGTGCACTTTGTCGCGGGGCTACTTCGCTCTAGGGTTGGGGACTTACGTGGCGATTATATAATGTTTTCCCATGAACCGAAGTACTTCCTCAGAATTAGGCTCGGGGTTGCTCCACGAATGACGCGAAATTTGGGTCATTGATCGTAAATGCGCATAACCTTTTTGAGTTTACTAAACGCCTACATAATTGTTGCTCGCCCGTAGACCCTCCAAATATATGGACAGAAAAAGTAATAGATAGGAAGGCTGGACGTTATCATTGACAACCGTGGATTAGATATGACATAAGTATGTGGAAACTATCAGCGCTACGTGTGTCAGAACTGGGATTGATGAAGGGAGTGAAAAGGTGCACAAATGTCGAGTACGCTGCTAAGTCGCTGCGAGGCTGGGAGTAACTAGTGACTGTATTAATCTCTTGATCTCCTAGAAGCATTCCACGGCTATGAAGACTTTTCACCCTATGCGCCCCTATGCACGTGACCCGATTCGGGCTCCCTGTGCCACACCTAGGCACAGGGCTAGCGACTCCAGCCACCTGAGGCCTGCAACAACCTTAGCATGCAACATGCGTCTGACAACGTGAGTACTTAATTCCCTGCCCATATCCGGAAAATAGCTTCACGGACTTCTTGAGGCTACTTCGGTGAAATTCTGAGGAAATAAACACGTCCCGACGGGCATCTAATAGTTAACGTGGACCCCATCACGGCAGGTAACCCTCGGTAAGCCGGCGGTAGCCATATTATGTCGGATGAATCCCAAACGACCTAGGTAGATTGGTTGCTTAAGCCGATTCCGCTACGTTTAGCTTGCAAATCTACATCAAGACCTTGCTTTGACAGCATTGATAACTTATGAGCCTGTTGTGGGCTAGACCCTGTTGGAACAACTTGGTAGCTCAGATTGAGTCTATCTAACAATAAGGTAGGAAAAGGAAATGAACAAGGAAATTACTAGCCCCTTCTCTGTGAAACTCTGCGAGGCCCATGCGTCCTCGAGGGCTGGCGTCACGTGTTTTAGGTGGTCCGGGCTGGGTCTCATACCCAGCCGCTTGGTAACTGGTAGAACCGTAACAAAGCCCAAACACAACGGGCAAGGGGGTTGGCGAGCCAAGTCAGTCAACGACCCGCTATCGACGGCCATTTCTAGCCGTCGTGGACCACCTGTTTGCTTAGCACAATCCCCACTAATCCGTGTAGCACTCTGGTGTGGATCCATACCAATACTCGTGCCGCACCTCCTCGAGCGAACGCAGACTACGCTGATTAACACCCCTCATCCGCGTATATCGACCAGCCACTTGTGGATGAGGAACACACCACTTTTCACCACGAGTTGATTAGAGTACCCATATCCGGAGAGTCATATAGAAGCACTATTAGGTGTGGTACCCAGCAGATCTTTAATACTAATTCAGGACATCCCAGGGTCGGGCGTGGGGGTGAGCATAAGACTACAGAGGCATCTCCGTAGGCTGCGAACATTGGTCACTTGTGGACTCGCGATGCACGAAAGAGAGTTGCCAATCGTGACGGCATCGCCGGCAGGTGGACAGTGGGCCACGTGACAGACAAGCTGGGAGACACCACGGCAGCTACGGGAGCAGCCTTTGGACTGGTACATACCAGCCTCCCTACCACGTCAAGGCTCGGCCGCTGCCAAGTTCGAACCGGGTTGCCATGGTCACGATAGAGCAGCAAAAAGCCAAGGCGCGCGCAAAAGCGGTCTAACTTTGCTGCGCAAAACCATATATCTAGGAGAGAAGGCCAATACCTTCTCGACAACGGTGTACTGGGAGCCCACGCATAAGGAGTACCGCGTCGCGGCACACGTTCCTATCGACTGGGATATTCCCAATCTCAATCGCCTAGTGAGTGCCCTATCGGCTAGGACGTGCGCACGTTGCTGACAATAGCTGTAGATTGAAGATGCCTTATCTAGTCGATCATCGCCACAGCCCCGTCGGCCACCAGCTCGGCCGAGGAGACGGCCGTCGCCTGCTCCCCAGCCGCCCACGGCGCGGCCCTGTCGATAGCTATACCGCGTGTAGAAAAATACCCGCGACACCGTGGCCTAGCCTCGACGGAACGCCCGTTATCAGCCTCGGGGCGCTAGACCACTATCCAGAACCGAGCGAGTGTCACCCTCGGCCGCCGACACGCCTGCGCTAGGAAGCTATGAGCCGATTCCAGTCCCGAATCCTCCTTAAGGCGCCCTTTGGGATGACGTGGTCGCCACTGAGCAGTTCGGAACAGGCAGATCGCATCCCTCAACGGATAGCCTGGCAGCCGAGACAGTTAGTCCTGTCTCTCCCGGGATGGTAGAGTGGCTTGCGGACGCGAACGGTAGCGAAGCGGCGGTAGGATTAATCAGACCAATATGTGCGTCGACGCCGTAGCGGGATAACGCATTAGATGCGATGAACGACATCGGTATGGCCCGACAAGGGGCGGAAGGCGACCATTCGTGTGTCACTAGCGGTGCGACAGATGGCAACGTTAATACCCTTAGCTCCCTTTTCGATAGCTCCTCGTGGATGGATCTTTATCTGCACGAAACAGCGCCGGACGATGCCTTCCGCCTTGATCAAAGCGCATGTAGACCGCAATCCGCAAAAGAGGTATAACACTCCAGAGGTGGCGCAGCGAATCGACGCAGCGCTACCAGGGAAACACACGAAGGCAATGTATGATCAGCTCGGACGCAAAGAGGCTAGTATACTCGTGCAGCTGCGGACGGGCATGGCAAGAGTCAACGACTATCTACACCGCATCCAGGCGGCACCATCCGATCTATGTACCTGCGGACAGGCCCGAGAAACGATAGAGCATTTCCTTTTCGCATGGACCCAGTGGACAGAGCAACGCAAGGTATTGCAGGAGTGTACGACTACACGACACGGTAACTTATCCTTCTATTTGGGAGGCAAATCAAGAAGGGACCAGGACGACTGGGCGCCCGATATGCGGGCCGTGCGAGCGACGATCAAGTTCGCACTCGCGACCGGCCGGCTAGACGCTAACTGAGGAGCGGACCCCACCAATTATTACTCAGAGAATATACCTTGGGAAAGTCGTATCGCGCTTCCAACTTCGAAGCACCTGTAGAGCAGGTTCAGTGTTCTGCACCTCTCTTTCCACAGACGTCGAGATTGTCTGGATTCGCCATCTTCTTCTTCTCCAGCTTGGCCTTCATTTGGTCAGAGTCCAACGCCGTCCCCAATGCGAGGTTAAATGTCGGAGAGCGAAAGACCACTTTCTAACAAACAAGTTAAACGAAGCGCTTGCGAGATGATGGAAAGAGGCTTATTGTTCCGAGCTCTGCCCTAAGCACCCTTGTATTAGGCGTAAACTCTGGGTTCTCATTGAAACTTTCCTGCAACAGTGAAATTCGCCTCTGGGCTTCCAGCCAAGTCGACGTCACCGTGATGTCAGTCAAACTTGAAGACCCCCATGCGATTAGCTGCAAGGAGCTACCACCCATGATTATTTACTTCGAGCGCGCGGAGGTGCTCAGTGAGAAAACCTGTGTTCACGCAGCGTTAAGTCGTGGGAAGTGCACATACCACACCACCTCGTCGATCCGTCTGTGTCTATTAAGCTGGGCTCCACGCCTAAGTCACCGTCGTCGACTTGGATATCTCTTCCCCGAGCGAATTTAAGCATGGCTTGAGCGATATAAGTATTACCACTCTTGGTGTTGACTCCGACCGAAGGAATCATGGAAGTCCATGTAAGCACCTTTAACGCTAAGCAAACACGCCTTAACTTTCTCATGCCCATTCCATGTAGCCGTAAAGATTGGCGTCGATTCACACCTATCCTTTGTGTTTGCCAAACCTTTAATGGAGAAGAGTTGCTCTATAACTCCTAGGTGACCTTTTGCGAATGGTAGAAATAGCGAACCGCGTCCGGAAGCACCCTTAGCTTTAGTGTAAGCTCCGGTCTTGAGAAGTAGCAAAACCACTCGAGATGCCCTTTCAAAGATGTCATGCAGCGGCTTCAATCCGTAGTGGTCCACATCCGCAACGCCAGCGCCTTTCCTAACAAGTGCCTTGGCCACATCAACGTGTCTGTCATGAGTGGTCGAAGGTGCCAGTGTTCCGCAGTGAGTATCGAAAATGTTGGAATCGACTGCGTTCTCAAGAAGCAGCTTAACCACCTCAGTATATCCTTTACGGGAAACTGCCTTCAGTGGTGTCAAGCCGTAACTGTCTGCAGTGGCAACATCAGCGCTTCGATTACGGAGAAGCTTAGCCACATCCGTATACCTGTTATTTGCGGCCAGATAGAGCGGCGTTGGCCTTCACTTGTTTTCCACTGCTGTGTATCGAAGAGTAACTTAATTGCCCCAGAGTTCCCGTTTTTGGACGCTACGTATAACGGCGACTATCTATAACCGTCTATAGCGGCAATATCGGCACCTTGCTTAACAAGAAGCTTAGCCACATTGGCATGCCCGTCAAATGCCGCTAAATGAAGCGTGGTTTCTCTAGACTTATCCGGAATATCTGGATTAGCTCCCTTTTTGCGAAGTAGCTTAGCCAGGTTAGTATATCCCTTCATGGAGGCTATACATAGCGAGGTCTACCCTCTATTCTTCACAGCGGTAATATTAGCACCTCGTTTAAGAAGAAGCTTAGCTATATCTATATCCCCGTGGCTGCGGTGTTTACCTAGACTTATTAGGAGCACCTAGGTTAGCTCCCTTCTCTAGAATCAGTTTAGCTACCTCAGTATGTCCACTCAGGGAGGCTCGATGTAGCGAGGTCTATCTTCCCTCCTTACCAGCGATAACATTAGCACCTCGTTCGAGATAAAGTTAGCCATATCCATATACCCGTTAAACGCTACTAAATCGAGAGGGGACTCTCCTGCGTTATTGGCAAGAGCTAGGTTAGCTCCCCTCTTAAGAAGTGGCTTAACTCCTTCGATGTGGCCATTGCATGAGGCGGTATCTAGTGGGGTCTATCTATATTTATTTGTAGCCGTTAAATCAGCTCCCGCATCGAGTAGTAGCTCCATTGCCTCTATAGACCCCTGATGTGAGGCGTTGAAGAGTGGCGTTAATCCGTTACTGTTAGCGACTTTGACATCTGCCCCGTTCGATAAGAGTAGCTTAACTAATTCGAAAAACCCACTAGCCGAGGCTATATTTAGAGGGCTCTAACCGTCGTCGCTAGTTATAACGATGTTGGCGCCCGCTTTCATTTGCACGTTGACGACGCGGCGACGAGCCTCTACCTCTTTGGACGTCCGACCCCCAGCCACAGCCATCAGCTCCCCTTCAACATGAAGGTCTATTCTGCGAGCCTCGAAGCTCGGAGCTAGCTCCTTAGACCAGACCAGGTACCATTTCGCGTCTGTTCTGTCGCATTGTGTCTCTTGCTCGCCCATCCCGTTACTCTCTGGCCCTGCGTCCAAAAGCCAGGCATCGCTGCCCGGCCACGAGGAGAAGATGGAATGACAAAGACACACCTGTCCCATCCAGGCGCACCGAAATGCGTGCTGCACCGGGGCTAGCCAGTCTTTCACCCAATGCAGGTGCCGCACATTTATTATATCGAGCGAATCCTCGGCGTCGTAACATGGTAACATTTCGGCGTCATCCAGAAGAATGCGAGGCTGTGAGCGCCTGCCATTTCTCTCCGCTGAGCTGGTGACCTACATGCCTGGCACTGGGCTATTAGAAATTTGGCGTTGCTTCCTAACCCACCGAGAACCCCACTCTTAATATGGGCTCTCCATTTCCGTCCATTCGCTACTTTCCATATTCATTCTCATGGTTATCCAAGATAACTCAAGCCCAGTTGCCCAGCAGCGACATGAGCCCAGCTCCGAGGCACATCCATCCAAATGCCCCCAGCTTGCGACCAATCGTCGCGTGCATCATCGCAGAACCGTTCATGAAGAAGTCGTAGGCAATCAGCTGGACCAGACCTGTGTACAGAAGAATGCCTGCTGAGATGGAGTCAAACACGCCGCTCACCACCAGGGCGAGGTGGCTTCCCGGTTCAAATGTCTGGCGCACACTCAGACCAACCGCTATGGCGATAGGGGTCGACAGTGAGTAGGCAGCGCTCAGGACATACGGCATCCAGGCTCTACCTCTCGGCCACGAGATGAGCGCGAGACGTGCACCGAGACCGACACCCTCAAAGGTCTGGTGGAAGGTGAGAACAATGTAAAGGACAATAAACTCTTCGCCAGCAACCGCTAGGGTCAGTCCGATGAGAACCGAGTGGAAGATGATGCCAAATTCGAGGATGAAGAGCGATGTCATCTGCAGGGCAAACGTGTCGCCGGGAACCGTCTCATGGTCAGTAGATCTGATGATACCCCCTGGAGATTGTGAGAATATGCGATTGATGATCGGTGTCCATACTTACCTGAGCAGGTTCTTGTCACTTGCTTATTACTATTGGGTTCTTGGGCTTGCTGGACCGCGACTCTTTTGTCTGCTTTGACAGCGTAGTGACTGGCCAGCAGTTCCGCAAGGAGCATGGCAAAAATGGCCATGAGGCAGATGCCCTCCGGCCAGGCATATTGAGTGATGGCGGACTCGGGATTGAGGCAAGGCGAGTAGAGAGCAGCGACAGCAGGCGCAAAGAGATGAATCAGGGCCGTTGCTACAATGACACCTGAGCCAAAGAATCTAGCGGCGAAGAAGCAACGCCTGGTGAACGACTTGCTAGTCGAGGAACGGGAAAGCAACAGCGGCACAACGCAGCCAAACATGGAGCCGATGAAGATAACAAAGATGGCTGAGATGCGGATTCCGACCCTCCCATTGTAGTCGTTGCCCAATGAGCAGTCTATCGTAACGAGGAACGGCGCTTCTTCTCCGCCGTCTTGCCTCGAGCGAAGGTTGCTGCTCATGTCAGCCATTTTCTTCTTGCGTTCGTATCGAAGGACTGATAGTAGAATGTTGGAATTCAAACGACAGGCATGAATATTGACGAAGCAGACAGTGTGTTATTTATAAGAATTTATGTGCAGGCTTAGTTAGCGTGCAAACTGGAGCTCTAAAACTTGTCTGCTCAAGAACCTTGATGGTTTCTGTGTTTCAGCTAACCCAATACGTCTCTTGGCTCAAGTTGCCATGCCGATGGTCTTGATAAATGCCTTTGATATTCAAGACCAACGGGAATAGGATTTTCACATTTTACCGTCGAGAGAAGGGATTCATCTCGGAACCGGGGAAGTCAGTACCGGAAAACTCCACAGATTCGCACAAGCAGGGTTATAATTCAGCCAAAGGCATGCATCATTAGGACACAGAGTCTTGATGGGCGTCATAGTCTTTCTTTTATCACGTGTCTTTGACTCCATCTAGAGTAGATATTATCTCTGTGTGCTTGTCGCAGAGCCAGCTGAACTAATGCGCGACTTCCTGTCGCACTAGGTAGAACATCGCGTGGCACGTCTCTATTGAAGACGTTGCAAACAAGAACGTTGGACATCGCTGGCCGAAAAAGAACTCCGTTTTGCAGTAGCCCAGATTGAGGCTCAGGGTCCATGAGGCAACGACGTGTCCCTAATCAGGCTTTCGCCGTGCGTCCCATCATGCCGCTCGAGTATCATTTGAAGTGGTACAAGCGACCCCTATCGGTTACGTGCTCGAAGCCCCACCTCAATCAGCACGCTAGCATCGGAAGAAAGTTAATGATTCACCCGGGGCGAGATTACATCAACCGCCAGTGTCTCCTGCACCGTTTTATCAAAGCCTCAACCTTTGACATGCCGACCTCGAGAAGTACGACTATCTTCCGTATTTCCCGGGCTTTTTTTTTTCTTTTCCTCAGCTGGGTCTTCATGATAATCGACGGGCAGAACTATGCTTGCGAAGCATGTGTCCGTGGCCACCGGGTCAGGACCTGCCAGCATCACGGTAAGTGTACGGGCAGTATCTGCCGCTGCGTCTCAACCAGACGCTTGGACCCTGTGCATATCATTTAACTGACTGAAACAGAACGTCCTCTGAAACTTGTTAGCAAGAAAGGCCGGCCTGTCTCGCAATGCCAACACTGCCGTACTTTGCGGAGGTCGCGCTCCGTTCACGTCAAGTGTAGCTGTGGAAAACAAGCAAATAGTAACACACTACAAGGAAGTTTCACAGAAAATAAAGCAGGCAAGTTTTCCCTAGGTACAGTAATATTATTTGGCTTTTAACTCTTGGCTCTTTAACACAGGAAGCTGCTATTGTAACTACGGCGGCCGCTGCACCTGCGCTTACAAGAAGGAACAACCACCACTAGATATAACACTACTTACGAATTCTCAGCCCGATTATTCAACGGAGCTTAACTTGCCCAACATGCATGGAGTGGAAGTTCAATCCAGCGGCTCCAGTCGCGAGCCACTTCAAGAGCATCCCCACGTAACGTCGGAGATCCCCATAGCACTCTCGAACCACAACACGATCCCCTTCGCATTTCAACATCTCGACACGCAGCTACCGCTTCCCGACATGTCCTGCAACGTCGGCGAGTATTCGGAAAATGTCAATTTCGGGCTGTTCGGCAGTCCACATACGCCAGCTTCAATATTAAGTACGGATCGGAGTTCTTCCGATATCAACTGGACTAACTATCTGTTCGACACAACGAGCAGTGACATTCAGGCGCAAAACGTCAACGATTCCGACTTTACATGGCTTACGCAGCCGCTCCTAGGCTCCACATCCCTTTTGGAAGAAGTGCCAGAGGCCGGGGACTGTGGCACTATTACTCAAGACCTAGGTGATGGCCCGGCGTCACTAGAACCTGTACCTCACAGGAACCAGGATCTGAGAGACTTCATATGAGTTTGATTGCAATTTGGCCAGGTTATCTGGGGGAATCATGTTCGCCAAGATTGCACGTGCTGCTGACTCAAAGCCGCCCGGGCTATGGGTCAGCAGTCTCACCTTCTGCGGTTGTAGACACTGTAATCGCGAACACGCTGTTGCACCCTCCGGGAATGGTGGCATCCCCGATCGGGTAAGGCGCCCTCGCCGCCGTGACCCCGCCACCCTTGCTCAGCACCCTGTCGCCTCGCCGCCATATAAATATCCGACCTCAATCCCGCCCCTCCGATGTGTACTCTCGACTTCTCTTCCTCCCAACTTCTCCTCAGAATGCTGGCCGCCCTCATTCCTGGGCTGTTGCCTGCGCCGACCTGCAATCTCTGCCCTCATCATGCTACGTGACGTGGCACCCAGCGCCCCTTCGCCTAGCATCCTTGTCGCGACGGCTTTCAGAGAGCGCCCCTTCTCTCCCCTTCCACTCCGAACCTTGGCCGTCTCTACAGCTTCGCTCGGACAACAGACTCTCCGAGGAAGGACATGAGCTTGCCTCTAGGTCCAGAATATCATCAGCACCGGCGTTGTAAGTCTCTTCCCTGCCCAGGCGGTTCCCGTGGAGATCCGTAGGCTGACCCCTCAAGATGGTGTATCCTGCTGCCGTGATCACGAACCGCCTTGGGAGGCCGCCCACCCTCGCCCATCCCATGACCGCCGTGCCAGTCGCGAAAATGCCTCAGATGCTGATCACGGCCATGTTTGACGCGAAAGCACACCGATCTTCTGACCGATTCGCGGCAGAGCGAGCGACATCCCGGGCGAGCTGAGCACTGCCCCTCTCTGCCTTGGTTGTGGGAGAGGTCGACCGACATGACGCCGAGCCGCGCATCTCGAACCGACGACCGCGCGCCATCCGCCGCCCAGCCCTGGTCTTGTGAGTACATGCATCCCTTTGATTGGCGTCGGACAACGCGCCTGGATGCTTGGTGCACACGCTGCGGCGCTATGAAACAAGATGGATTGCACGAGACCGGTCTCGAACCAAATCAGCCCACCAGCATGACCATGCGGGACGCCCAAGGGTGAGGCCTCATGCATACGCCGGTCGAAAGGGGGAGCGTAGCGCCGACGAGGCGCATCGGGCTCGTGCGGGCGGCTCGGCTGACTTTCCAAGAACTGACGAGCAATGACGCCGATCATCACTGGTAGGAATGCGCCGCCTGTGACGCAGGTCGCCCTGCTATAGGCTCGTGTGACTCCTTGCGCCGGGAACGCGTGCCCGTGAGCTGTCGCGACCACCTCGCATCCAATCCAGACATGGGGAGAGATGCCGCGTTGGACGGTCGGTGTCATGCGATGGGATGCAATGTGTCGACCGTCGCATCACAGGCTGATTTCGGAGCCGCCGACAGGTTTGCGTTGCCCGCATGGTGAGTCGATCCATGGCGAGACCAGCTGAAAGAGGTTCATCGACACGGCCGCTTGAAGTGTGCCTCGGCAGATGTGTGGTTGGCGGACTGGCAAGATGAGGAGCTGGTCCTGACGGTGTCTCAGGTGGATAGGTCGTGTTTGGGTGTTCTCGTGAACGTGCAGGGTGCGTTGCAGCTGACCGGGCCGCCTAGAGAGCGACAGGTACAGCAGGGAGGAAGGACAGCGTATGTCTGAGTCTGAGGGCGCTTTGCACAGGCTGACGGGTACTTAAGAGCACCCTTCGCCGCGTTGCCGAGACGACCCTTGAGCACAGCTCCTTCATCTCCGCAACCGCCAACTGAGAGATGGACGACTCCTGTGCCTCTCATCCAATGGCGCCTACTTGCCTCAACAACATTGAATTCTGGACTCCTCCAGCCACAGAGGGTGTAGAATGCGCGAGCCCGGCGAAGCAGAGGTATAGCCCCTCTTTCACGGCCTCGCCAGACTCGTCGTCTTTCCCCGCAGATAGAGGACTCTCGATTCCTCCATCAACTGTCCACGGGCAGACGCTCGACCGGCCAATCCCCATTCCCTCCGACATCGAATCCGACATAGATACTACCGATGGTAGCGATGCCGAGCAGGATGACGGCGGACAGTCGGACTCTTCACTTGCGTCGATGAGCACGTTATTAGCGCAGGCGAAGTCACGGCGGGGTAATGCCATCAGACGAGGTACGTTATCACTATACCCTCCACCTTTGCGCGGCCCCGCGGCTAAGGTGCGCTTCAGCAAGCCTAGATCCCTTGTTCGAGGCCCCCGATTCTATGCATCCGCAAGCTCCGCCCACACATGGTCAAGCTAGTGAGAACATTCGTATAGATGGAGAGTGTTTACCCTGGTCGTCCTCACGATCGTCTGCGGTGCCTTTTATACCCCAAGAGCACGACGCTGGCCAGAGCTGCGAATCCAGGAGCAGGAGCAGCCCAGGCAGCGATGGTCTAGACTGCTCAGATGACGCCGCACCGACCTCCAGCAGCTGTCCCAAGGCGCCGGAAGCCTGTTCTCCATTGTCAAGTTCGTGGAGTGTGCTGCAGGGGCAAGGCACGGAGATGGCAACCGGCACGCCTTGCGAGAACGAGGCTGCGTCACCCAAGCACGCGACCGGCACATCACGTCGCAGGTCAGAGAGACCGCGGCGAGCCTCTAAGCGGAATGCGAGGAGTATTGGCGGCTACGCGACCTCGAACCCCGATACCACCGCTGACTCCAATTCAGACAACGACACGGGCGCCAGCACCGGGTCTCACGACAAGACCCGCAGCGATGACGAATCTTATCCCTCGCCGGGTCGAGGGGAGGGTGAACAGGGAGCTGGTAGCGGAGTTGATGAGGCCGACGATGAGTCGGATTCACCTCCAACCAAACGCCGCAAGCAATCCCAAGCTCCGACCAGCACCAGGCGGAAGCGCGGGCGCGCGGCTCTGTCGGTCGGCACAGATGTCGCCAACTCACCGGCACGAGCCGGGACATGTCGGTCAGCCTGCGGGGTACCGAGCCCGCCATCATCGCACTATTCCTCTCGGAGCAGCCCTCCCAGCCATACAGGCGCGAAGTTCCAGGAGTGGTTCCTGCCAAACGCGAAGCTTAAACGCATCACGTTTGGTGGCGGCCGGACGACTTTCCAGTTGCAATTTGATTGGGATCCGCACGTGGATGGACGACGAGCAGACTCTCCCAGTAGCAACGGGCTTCGAGCTCCGACGTCAAGGAAGGGCGTACGGCCCAGGGGAGACGCAGCCTCAAGCACCGCTTACACGCGGGCCGAGAATGAATTTATTATCAGGTTAAAAGAAGGCCAGGGTCGGCGGAGCTGGGCGACAATCCATCGGGAATTCAACGATAAGTTTCCGGTGCAGCGAACGAAGGGGAGTCTCCAGGTACACTACTGCACGAAGTTGAAGGACCGCACGGCATCTTAATGTCCGGGCTGGCTGGCCACCCTGGCGTGCTCGTGTGCAGGATTCACCGTCAGTCATTTAAATGGTAGCTCAGTTATCCAGTTTACCTTACACCAATGAACTCATTCGTTGGAATGCCTCGCAAGCACAGATTACCCTTCATCAGGTCTGTCTTCAATAGATGGAAGGACGCTTCCCCTTCACCAATCGCCTTCAGTGTTTCGAACGGGCCTCCTTCATACGCGAGGTTTCTCATTCTGAGCTCAAGTCTTGCTACCCACGTTTCTAGGAGAGCAACAATCATCCGCTGTCGCTGTGGAACAACGAGGCACATGTAACGCCGTCAAGTTCAAGAAGGACCTCAAGAAAGTGTTCTAAACAGATGCTGGCACCGCCGTGGGGTGGCGTGCTGAGGTCGAGCCCACTGGGACAATTTCCATTATCGTCTTCGGTTGCCTGTGTTTGCTTCATCATATCCCAAAGCTCCGTCTTACTAGGAACCCATTGCCCGCCCGTGCAAATGCTCTGGCCTCGCAAGAAAATACTGAACAGGTCCGTCCAGTGGCGACCCTCGGCTAGCTCGACGGAGATTGGTCTCTTGTTGGTGGAGAGTTCATCAAGGATGAAATAGTCCGTCATGTATTTATCTTTAACCAATGCGCCTAGTCGCACATCATCTCGAAGCGCGGAATGCTCCTTTGCAATGTTCTGACCGTCGATCTGGAGCATGTGCAAAGCTTCTTTAACGGTGATGATTGGCGTCTCTTCAAGCCACACGATGTCTTTACTTGGCCACCGTTCGCGAACAACCCGAAGTTCGGGAATAGCCTGCTTCGCGGCGAAAACAGACTTCAGCATGTCGTCAACAATTTGAATGAGATCATGATACGATCGGCCGAAGGTCATTCCGATTTCCACATTAATACTCTCAGCAAGAGTTCCTTGGGTTTTGGAGACCTTTGCGCCGAAAACAGGACCGGCCTTGCAAGTCAGCATGCTAGGCATATACCACAATACATCCATCTTGGATTTGTCGACCTACCTCGTACACTCTTGCGAAGCCACTTTCTATAGCAAGTTGATTTGCGAGCTGCGAATTGTGCGCTAATGATGCCGGTCGACCATAATAGTCTACCTCGAATGTCTCCGCTGATATTTCTGTCGCTGCTGGCTGTAACTTGGGCGTATGAATCTCGATAAATTCTCGGTCCTCGAGCACCTGGCGGAAGTTTCGGAGAACCATAGCACGGATACGGAACAAAGACTTATTGGATGGAAGGCGGAGGTCGAGTATGCGGGCTGTCATCTCCGCAAGTGAGTATTCTGGTTCATCGTATATTTCATGTAGCGGAAGAATGGAATAGATGGCGACTTCGAGGCCAAATTTGCTGACGCGGGGTAGGGGCTTCTGGAGTGTACCATAGACTTGGACGAAGGTCTCGGGACTGAGTCGGAGTGATTTGGTCATAGGCAGGGCTGTGCGGGAGAGCATTCCATGAATAGAGCCGGTTCTGTCTCTAAAATGGAGGACGTCGAGGGTTGGGGATACACTTCGCAGGGTCTGTATCGTGGCGTAAAAAGTGACCTCGGTCCCCTCGGACATGTTGACCACTTCTGCAATTGTTCTTAGATCCAGCCCGCGAGTGGACTGCGCACTTTGAGCCACGGTCTTTGCAGCTTCTTCCGCTTGAGGCCGCTCAATCTCGAACCGTTCGCACTCATCCATTTCCTCGTGAATTCTCTCGTGCTTGCCAGACATGACTTGGCTTCTCCCAACTTCTCTCGTCTTCGCTGCGGTTTACTTCAACAGTGTTGTCTCCTTGAGAGTCGGATTCGTTGAAGGAAATTTGGCAGCAGTTGCAACAAGGTCGCCTGCTTTAGTATATATATAAGGATAAAAAGATAAACAGAAACCAAAGTCCTAAAGTGTACCTGGTTCCGTGTGCGATGAAAACGCACAGAGGCGGACGAATATTGGAGCAAAGTGCTTTGATGTAGAAATGATGATGCCTGAGAAAACTAGGGAATAAGAAAGCTCGAGCATTTAAAAATCTGGCTGCCACTAGCCTCTAAATGCTGATAGCTTCCGTCAGCCGAACGTCACTACGTCTACTGCAGTAGGCGAAAATGAGGTGCAGTTTTGCTGGCTTCAATGCTGTCTCCGCTCTCATGAGTCAGAGTTTGGAGTGGTGTTGCTGGGTGTTTCCAATGTGCTGGTGCTGAGGTTCGCCGTCTTGCGGAACGGATAGGGTGGAACGCCAAAATGGCGCTAAAACCAGCACAAATCTCTCATTGCACTGGGGGCTATGGATCCACGAATTGCTGACCCAATGATATCACTGGGTGCTCCCCCAGTCTTCGAAGTCCGCCCCTAGTGCCGCACAAGTGCCGCAAATCCCCGCTCTCCGTGTAAGGGCAACAGAATGGTGAGTGCATCTGTTGCCGCCAATATTGTGCCTCACTCTCACCATGCCTCTGCACTCCTCCCATTTCCACCACCTCTCAATCTCGCCAATTCTCCCGTCCTCCAGCAATTACCATTGACAGCCCCTTTGTTCACACCTTCAACAAAGATATCTCGTTCTTCCGGCAGGCAGAGACATGCGCGTCTACGCGGAGAAGCTTGTGACGTGCGTTGCTGTCGCTCTTCAAGTCGTCGGCTCAAGAGCTGCCCTACGTCGATTCAGCTTCAAGCTTCACAGCGCTTCCAACTCTCCAGGCAGGTAACTCCCTTGAACAGTTCCTGGGAAAGCACCCCGCTAACTGGTCTAGATGGATTCGAGCGTGAAGTGTACCTCATCAATGGCCAGCAACCGGGTCCCCTGATAGATGTTGATGAGGGAGACGACTTGGACATCTTCGTCCAGAACGACTTGGATGTAGAAACAACTATTCACTGGCACGGTTAGTAACCATCCTATTCAAGACTTTTCGAGAACAATAAAGGCTGATAAGACACTACCGACTAGGACTGTTGCAGCGAGGTACACCTGACATGGATGGAGTACCGGGTGTTACACAGGTTAGCTTCTGCATGCCCCTTCGTGGGGAGGAGTCCGTTTCCCCGCTGATAGATTCCGAGGACCCCATCGCGCCGGGCGGCAACTTTACCTATCGATTCTCCACTGCATCCGAATACGGCTTTTTCTGGTACCACTCCCACTTTCGAGCTTATTATAACGACGCTATTCGTGGCCCCCTCCTCATCCGACCCGCCGCCTCGCGTCAACGCCCGTTTGTCGACTTGGCTGGAAATAGCGACGATGTCGTAGCACTCCTGGCCGCCGAACGAGATGCGGCAAACATTCTCCTAAATGACTGGACGCACGAACTCTCGGACACTATATTCGCGCGATATAACAGGACGGGTGCATTCCCATCGTGTGTCGACAGCATTCTGGCCAACGGCCAAGGAAGGGTTCAGTGTCTCCCCGAAGCCATTCTTGAATCCGGGCCAGGGCTTGGAATAGAGTCAGAAATATCAACTTCGGCAACCGGACCATCGATATCCACGGCTACTATGCCAAATATGCCGAGTATGGACATGCTGGACCAAAGAGGTATGCATGACATGTCGATGGAGGCGCATGCGAGCTCTGAGACAACCCTGGCGTCTACCTCGATGTCAATAAGCCATCCTACTGCGTCGTCGATGATGCCAGACATGCCAGGGATGGACACTCTGAGTCCCCGTGGCTGTATGCTGCCTATGATGTTCAAGCCGGGGTTCGATATATCGTCACTGCCCCAAGAGACTTGCACTAACACCACCTCACCTTTGCTAACCATCGCTGCGGACCAATCACGTGGTTGGTTGGCTCTCAACCTCGTCAATTCTGGTGCCGTTAGCGCCCTAAGGGTATCTCTAGATGGGCACTCGATGTTTGTCTATGCTGCCGACGGTCTCTATACCAACATGCAGGAAGTCAATGTAGGTGTACAGACTGATTATGATGTGGCCTTACTAACTCGCCTAGGTGCTGCACATGGAACTCGGGCAGCGGTACTCCGTCATGGTCAAGCTCAATCGGGCGCCTGGGAAGTACTATCTCAGATTCGCAACTTTCCCAAGCGGTGACATGCAGCAAGTTCTGGAAGGGCAGGCGATTGTCTTATACAATGTGAGTTTTCCTAGTTCTTCAAAAGCTTTCCGCTGATACCCGAGCCTCTAGACTAGCAAGGCCTCTACAACGAACACTGCGGAGGATCTTGTCAGCGACTGGATGTATATCAACGGATCTGCCAAATCAGACGCCGCTCTGCTTGATGCTTCAGCGCTCTCTCCATTCGAAGACAATCTCTCGCCGCCGTCGGGTCCAGCCGACAAAACCTTGTCTTTCCTGGTTAATCAAACGGATATTGTGAGCTGGGTAATCGATCGCGCACCGTTTGAGGAGCCATCTATCCCTATCGTCTACGGCAATATCTCTTCAGGTTGGGATTCAACCACGACCATGCATTTACCGATCAACTCGACCATTGACATTATCATGGGTATATCAAACCAGTCTTTGGATAAGGTGCGGTAGTCCCCAAGCGTGGGACATGTCCGTCTTGGAGCTTTGCCTCAAATCAGTCCCCTGAATGGCTAGAACTAACGTGCCGAGCAGATGGGCCATCCAATACATCTTCATGGACATAAATTCTGGGTCCTAGGGTCCGGTGTGGGGACCTTCCCATATGCTACAATTGCGGATGCGCCATCGGATCTTATTAACCTTGAGAACCCTCCATACCGTGATACGACTGGCCTGCCTTCTCAGGGCTGGGTTGCGATTCGGTAAGTGTCCCCTGAGGATCCTAGCCGACCTTTGCCGCTCACAGACCACTTCCTAGGTATTTGACTGATAATCCTGGTGCTTGGATCTTTCATTGCCACCTGCAGTGGCACATTGTCGTGAGTTCCTTCATCTGGTTTAAACCAGCGTTCTTGATATTGACTCTTTTAGGTTGGTATGGCGGTAGTCCTTGTCGAGGGCGGAGATGAACTTCCAGCCTTGGTTGGCCAATACAACCCCGTCGTCGGCAGAAGCGGGGGTTCACGTTTGGTAGACCATCACCCTGGTGGCTCGGCTGCGCTTCTTATTGTCCTGGCTGGTGCCATCTCATTATGGTGTTGATCGAAGGAGCTTTTTTGCAAGAGCAGGTACAAGGGCCGGGTCGTCTGGTGTCTATGCACTGCTGCAGCTAGCTCTTGACTGAGTTGTACATGTAATTATCTTTCGAGCTCAAGTTCTTTCCGTGAAGATGAGAGGCACGGGTGACTTGCGTATGTTCGATTGAATACGAAAAGAGCCGCCCACTACTGCAATGTCTGATACGTGTCTGCTCTCCTGACGGTGGTTTGATTAGACCATCTTCCTAGTTTGTTTTCTCAACCCAACTCCATTCGTAAAGTAGATCATTCTGTCGTATTCTCCATTGAAGTCATGACTTGAACTTGCCTGCTCATTATGCTTCCCAGCTAAACCAACCCAACTCTTCTGTCTCAAAAGAGGTATCAGTATAATTCGGTCCGCCAGAGGAAACAGGTTCTAGTGACTCCGGGCCGTCACCTAAGTCTTGAGTAATAGTGCCACAGTCCCCTGCCTCTCGCACTTCCTCCAGAAATAATTGGGGCGTGGAGCCTAGGGTCGGCTGCGTAAGCCATGCAAAATCGGAGTCGTTGACGTTTTGAGCCTGAATGTTGCTGGTCGTTGTGTCGAACAAGTTGTTAGTCCAGTTGTTATCGGAAGAACCCCGACCCGTACTGAGTATTGAAGCTGCCGTATGTGGACTGCCGAACAGCCCGAAATCGGCATTTTTCGAATACTCGCAGACGTTGGAAGACATGTCGGGAAGCGGTAGCTGTGTGTCGAGATGTTGAAGTGCGAAGGGGATAGTGCTGTGGTTCGAGAGGGCTATGGGGATCTCCGACGTCACGTGGAGATGCTCTTGATGTGGCTCGCGACTGGAGCCGCCGAATCGGAGTTCCACTCCATTCATGTTGGGCAAGTTAAGTTCCGTTGAATAATCGGGTTGAGGATTCGTATCTAGTGTCGCATCTAGTGGTGTTTGTTCCTTCTTGTAAGCGCAGGTGCAGCGGCCACCGTAGTTACAATAGCAGCCTCCTGTGTTCAAGGACCAAAAGTTAAAAGCCAAATAATATTACTGTACCCAGGGAAAACTTGCCTGCTTCATTGTCTGTGAAACTTCCCTGTAGTGTGTTACTATTTGCTTGTTTTCCACAGCTGCACTTGACGTGAGCGGAGCGCGACCTCCGCAAAGTACGACAGTGTTGGCATTGCGAGACAGGCCGGCCTTTCTTGCTAACAAGTTTCAGAGGACGTTCTGTTTTTGGTTCGGTCAGTTAAACGATATGCACCGGATCCAAGCGCCTGATTGAGATGGAGCGGCATATACTGCCGGTACACTTACCGTGATGGTGGCAGGTCCTGACCCGGTGGCCACGGACACATGCTTCGCAAGCATAGTTCTGCCCGTCGATTATCATAAGACCCAGCTGAAGAAAAGAAGAAGAAAAAGGCCCGGGAAATACGGAAGGTAGTCGGACTTCTCGAGGTCTGCATGTCAAAGGTTGAAGCTATGATAAAACGGTGGAGGAGTCACTGGCGGTTGATGTAATCTCATCGATTCCTGCCCCGGTGAATCATTAACTTTCTTCCGATGCTAGCGTGCTGATTGATGTGGGGTTTTGATGTGCCCGATGGCGTCGCGTGTACCAATTCAATCGCAAAAATGTTACCTGAGCGGCATCATTGGACGCACAGCGAAAGCCTGACCAGGGACACATCGTTGTCCATGAACCCTGAGCCTCAATTTGGGCGACTGCAAAGCGGAGTTCTTTTTCGGTCAGCGATGTTGGAGAACAGAGAGAGTAACGTTCTTGATTGCAACGTCTTCAATAGAGACGTGTCATGCGATGTTCTAACTAGTACGGCAGGAAGTGGCGCATTAGTTTCAGCTGGCTCTGCGACAAGCACCCTGAGATAACATCTGTTCTAGATGGAGTCAAATGCATGTGATAAAGGAAAGACTGTAATGCCCATCAAGACTCTGTGTACTAATGATGCATGCCTTCGGTGACTTCTAATCCTGCTCGTGCGAAATTGTAGACTCTGACTGCCCCGGTTCTGAGATGAATCTCTTCTCTCGACGGTAAAATGTAAAAATTCTATTCCCATTGGTCATGACTATCAAAGGCATTTATCGACCATCGGCATGGCAAATTGAGCCAAGAGACGTATTGGATCAGCTGAAGCACAGGAACCATCAAGGTTCTTGAGCAGACAGGATTTAGAGCTCCAGTTTCCACACTAAGCCTGCAAACAAGGCTTATAAATGACACACTGTCTGCTTCGTCAATTTTCGTTCCTGTCATTGTAACTCTCAACGTTCTACTATCAGTCCTTCGAGACAAATGCAAGAGGATAATGGCTAACATGAGCAGCGATCTTCGTTCGAGGCAAGACGGCGGAGGAGAAGCCCCGTTCATCGTTACGATAGACTGCTCATTGGGCAACGAGTACGATGGGAGGTTCGCAATCCGCATCTCAGCCATCTTTGTTATCTTCATTGGCTCCATGTTTGGCTGCGTTGTGCCGCTGTTGCTTTTCCGTTCCTCGACTAGCAAGTCGTTCACCAGGCGTTGCTTCTTTGCTGCTAGATTCTTTGGCTCAGGTGTGATTGTCGCAACGGCTCTGATTCATCTCTTTGCACCTGCTGTCGCTGCTCTCTACTCGCCTTGCCTCAATCCCGAGTCCGCCATTACTCAATACGCCTGGCCGGAGGGCATCTGCCTCATGGCCATTTTTGCCATGCTCTTTGCGGAACTGCTGGCCAGCCACTACGCTGTCAAAGCAGATAAAAGAGCCGCGGTCCAGCAAGCTCACGGACCCGATAGTAATAAGCATGTGACAAGGACCGACTCAGGTAAGTATGGACACACCGATTATCAATCACATATTCTCACAATTTCCAGGCGGTATCATCAGATCTACTGACCATGAGACGGTTCCCGGCGACACGTTTGCCCTGCAGATGACATCGCTGTTCATCCTCGAATTTGGCATCATCTTCCACTCGATTCTCATTGGACTGACCCTAGCGGTTGCTGGCGAAGAGTTTATCGTCCTTTACATTGTTCTCACTTTCCACCAGACCTTTGAGGGTGTCGGTCTCGGTGCACGTCTCGCGCTCATCTCGTGGCCGAGAGGTAGAGCCTGGATGCCGTATGTCCTGAGCGCTGCCTACTCACTGTCGACCCCCATCGCCATAGGGGTTGGTCTGAGTGTGCGCCAGACATTTGAACCGGGAAGCCACCTCGCCCTGGTGGTTAGCGGCGTGTTTGACTCCATCTCAGCAGGCATTCTGCTGTACACAGGTCTGGTCCAGCTCATTGCCTACGACTTCTTCATGAACGGTTCTGCAATGATGCACGCGACGATTGGTCGCAAGCTGGGGGCTTTTGGATGGATGTGCCTCGGAGCTGGACTCATGTCGCTACTGGGCAACTGGGCTTGAGTCATCTTGGATAGCCATGGGACGAGACTGTGCGCCTGGACTTTTACAACCAGATGGGCGCGTCGAAGGCTAGACCACTCATCCACGCGTCATGAAAGACGAAATCCATCGCGTTCGTCCTGGGCTGATCAACGCGTTCCAGGACGCACTCAATTAGTATATAGGACTCACGAGTCACCAACATTCATCAAATGCAACTCAGCTGTCGATAACACTGCCAACGCTTAGTTACATACTAGTTCCACGACTTCAGCATGGCCTTGTGCTTGTTGATATTGTCTCTCACAAAATGCTCCATTCTTGCCCTCGTACTGCGCATCATCGGCACAAGAACAGGAAAGAGCCGATCGTTCTGCGTTGGCTTGACGTGTCTCAGCGCCATATGGGGGATCGGATCAGCAGTTGGAATACTGGTCAACTGTCGTGGCGATACAGCACTGACGCCCAAGAACCTCGAGCAATGTCCGAGCCAGGTATGTTTTCACGGTGTTTTGGCCAAAGGGCCATCATTGAAATCGTTAGACTCGGCTCCCTAACGAAGGAATAACGTTCCTAGAACTCTCGCTGGGCCGCCATTACAGCTATCGACATCGCCACCGAAGTTATGTCGTGGTTCCTCGTCGTTCTTCTGTCCTCGACGGTTGCCATGTCCTTCAAACGGAATTGCCAAGTCGTCCTGGCCTTCTCCTTCCGACTGCCGCTCATCATTCTCTCGGCCATCCACTATGTACATGTCACACGATACCCGCCCTCTGCCGAGCCTCAGTTTGCCGCTACGAACAGTATCCTTTCCCTTCAGGTCATGGTGCTCTGGTCCTTCATATCCGCCACGCTCCCCAATCTGAAGAACTTCATGAAGCCCTTCTCCATCGGCATGGGGCTACCCGTTACGTTCGATATTACTGGCTACGGGTCCGGCAACATGTACGCAATGCATTCGATGTCTCTTCTGCAGGCCTGCCATGCCGTGCTGAAGATGTTAGTGCTCGGGAGCCAGGCCTAAATGCGCCGCTTGTGTCAGAAACCACTCAAAATGCAGCTATCAATCCCTCTCATCCGCCGAGACAAATTCCCAAGCCCTCAGGCGCCGTCTGAAAGAATTGGAAGACGAAAGCAAAATCCTCAAAGAAATATATCAATACCTTAACACCGGTCCCCCAAGGCAGGCCTACGAGATCGTCCGACGGATCCGCATGGGCGTCGACATGGACTCCATTATCAGGCAGATCCGGGATGGCGATCTCCTGTTGCAAGTTTCTTTAGTCTCCGAGACGAGGTTGTGATTCGAATTTCTATACCGGACTGACATGCCGCCGGCTATTCAGAGATCTAGCAACGCGTACCTTGGGGGCGTCATGTATGAGGCTGTCTGTGCTGAGGACCTTCTACCGGCGGAAGGTGGGAATGAGCAGCAGCAGCAACGACGGCAGGATGAGTTCGATGCCTTGGCAAAGGGGTGTCCTCCGTAGCACTCGTCCTGAGACGCCGAGGGCTGGTTCTCCAACGCTGACTTCTCCAAGTCGGCCGCGCAGGCAAGGTATTGGAATGGAAACCGACACAGCTTACGGGAGTGAGGCTGCGTCGCCCCAGGGTGCGGTCAGAAGCAGAAGTCCACATGAAAGACGAAGTAACCCGCGCCGAACCTCTCAACGGCGCTCGAAGAACATCAGGGCGTACATGAACTCGGGTCCCGCTGCAAGCATTGATTCAGGCTCAGACGACGACGCCAACGTCAGCGTCAGGCGCCACGCCAAAATTCCCGACGATGAAGAATTCCACCCCCCGTTCTTGAGTGAGGATGGACATGGAGGTAGTGACGGAGTTGAGGAGTTGGACCCGCCTTTCCCCAAGCGCCGCAAGGCTTACCGACCTCCAGTTAGCCCTTCACGAAAACGCCGGCGGGGTATTTCTTCGCTCGGTCCATACGCCCTAGGAGCAACATACCCAGTCCGCCATCATCGCACGATTCTTCTCAGGACAGCCTTGGCAGAACCACCAGTGCCAAGTTCGGGGAGTAGCTCTTGCCGAATGCCACGCTGAAACGCGTTACGCTAGGTAACGGCCGGACGACTTTCCAGCTACAATTCGATTGGGACCCGCAGGTAGACGGCCAACAAGCACGCTGCCCCAGAAGCAACAGGTCTCGAGCTCCTATAGCAAGAAAGGGCAGCCGGCGTAGGCTAGACACAGCCCCAAGGGTCACTTTCACGCCAGAAGAAGACGAGCTTCTCCCTGAGTTAAAGGTTGGGGAGAAGGGTTTTACTTGGCCGGCTATCCATCGACTGTTCAGCGATACTTTCCCTGGGCGGCGGTCTTAAGTGTGCCTCCAAGTGCACTCCTCCCCGAAGTTGAAGCGACGCGGAGCCTGCTGAAGGGTTGGCCGGCGAGAGTAGCAAGTTTCGTTGCTGCGAACGGAGTCAGTAGATCTAGGCATGTGGGCGGTCTTCCTTTCATGAGACAAAAGATTGCAGTTTACATCAGTGTCGTATTTTACCTTAGATAAGACGGTCCAGCGCCTTGGAGAGGCAGACGCGCTCAGAGGAGCTAGAGTTCCGGTCCCTGCGTCTACGATGCGCACGAGGCTCCCGAATTCCAACTTTAGATCCGCATGGACTACATCACGAGACGAACTCTCAATGAGCTGTGGCCAACCATGCCAGTAGCAGAAGGGAGACATAGCCCGGCAGCTGGGGGTGATGGTACGAAAGACTCACCGACCCTGTCGAGCTCATTCATACACGGCGAAACCACGTCGTGGGCCGTCGGCGTTCTCCGCGGCATCGAAGAGGACCTATCGCGATGGTGCTGACTCCAAGCTCCATCAAATCATGCCAAACTCGTCATCATGAGCTTGACTGAGAGTGTGAAATAAGTTAATTGACTATCTGTTGCCTGGACCTCCAGGCTATTGACTTCTTTCATGTGCTACACATGGTAAGAACCTAGTTTTAACCCCAAAATTTCAAAAACGAAAGGAGATATTTTCCATGGTTGGCGGATGTTCTATCCCTGTTGGACATGCCGTCTTCACAAGGACCAGCTTCCTTGCTCCTCTTTTCTTTCAATGTATGCGCCGCCCACTCTTCCACATTCTCTAGAGCGCAACTGGGAGAGTCCCTGTACGGTATGAGGAAGGACAAGACCTCGGCCGGGCTGAACTCGTGGTCCGGTATTTTAGCAGCAAACTCGATCGAAAGTTGTTCAACCCTTAGTTGATCTTTGGCCTGGCTTTTTCCGGTCGAAACAACGTCGGCTGGCTCCTCAAACACGAGTCGGTATACCTGAGTGGCCAAATCCCTGTCGACAAGTTGGAACTCAACCTTCCTGTCGATACGCCCTGGTCGAATAAGGGCATCATCTAATTTCCTGATGTGGTTCGTTGTCATGATGAGGAGTCGACCCTCTTGGGAAGCAACACCGTCGAAAGCATTGAGGAGTCCCGATAGCGTCACCGACTCCTTATCCGCAGGTTTACTGGCATTCGCACTACCAGCTCCACGACAATGTGTCGCAGTGGCTGCGTCAATATCTTCTAGCAAGACGATACACTGTGGAGGGAGCTTGGTGAACAGATCGTGGAGCATTTGATCGTTGACAGTTGATACGCTGGCGGTGTAGATGTCCAGACCAAAGCGACCAGCCACGGACAAGCTCAAGCTGGTCTTTCCGGTCCCTGGAGGACCATAGAAGAGTATGCCTTTGCGATAAGGCACGGATCTCGTAGAGTACCATCGTCGAGTTCGTTTATCGAAGAATTCCCCAACGTCTTTGATGAGCGATTGCTTTTGCGTGTCTGCAAGGATGACGGTCGACAGTGGCCGGGCTTCTACCACCGCCACGCGCTCCCAGCAATCGCGACGGTTTCTAAAAACCGTCGTCTTGTTCCTGTTGAGGCGGAGGTATTCGTCTTTACATTCGTTCAAGAAGTCCTTCACTGTCTTGGGAGACCGGCCAAGACACGTAATGGAAAGTTCTTCCTCCTTGCGAAAGCCGACATCTGCCAGCGAGGTCCGATATGAAAGGAAGCTGTTCCTGTGACGGAAGATGAAGCTGCCATGCCAGGGCGAGAAGCTGAGCGCTTTCTTGGCCTTGCCTATAGGATCCTCCCGGCCATTTTGCTTCTTGACTCGAACAATAGAGGACCGAGCGGCGCCGTCAAGACCTCGAGAGGAGATCCACTCCAGAACCATGTTATACGTTTCGTCCGTGCTCTGCACGTACACGGTGGATGCTGGCTATTATTAGGAAGAGCATGTGTAGGTTGAAGTAGAACTACTGACTGAATGAGCCTTCCAAAAAGGCCTTCAACTTGTAGATATAAGGGCTTAACAAGCCAAGCAACCCAAAAAGGTACATCAAGTGAGCATAGCTGCCCAGATCTCCAGCTAGAATCTGTTGGATGGTACTTGAAGCGAGGGAAGCCCCGGGGAAGAAGATATCCAAAAGGGATAATTGTTGGAGTGGGGCTTCCTGGGTAGGAGGGTGGCTCGTGTTGCTGGATGGTGTCATCATGGAGCTTTCTGGTCGTAACGGAAGACAGTGCAAAGTGCGAGGTGCAAGGAGGAATAAGAGGGTAAACGGGGAGGGCTAAGACGCAGTGTTGGGGGGCTGAATTGGGGTTGAAGGTTGGAAGTGAGGGTGAGTGAAGAGCACATGGCATTCTTATACTTTTCAACACCTAACTTCGGATGCCACCGCATAGCGTGCCGCAGGAAGTAACGTTTATCATACCCCGTTGAACCCCACACTCCATCCGATGAGGTGATGGATGTGGCATTCAACCCGAACTGCTGCTGTGTATCATCCAGGTTCGATTGCTCCCACGCGGACGCTACGCAGCCCGCACCATGCAAGTTCCTGGCGGGCTCTACGCTAGTGATTGTTTATCATCCACACGGGATGATCGTCACTGGCCTACGTATCTCCAACTGGCCGAGACGAGCGGCGGCCAACACAACCTGGCGCCGGCCATGTCTTGCATTAGACCTGACGTTGAGTCTCTTCCGGCAGGGTGTTCCGGGCGCCTCTGAAACAATGCCTGTCTGTGGTATGCCTATCTGACCATAGCTACCAGTAGGAGTGATGACGCCCTTGGTGATCCGTTAGATCTCTTTCTGAGTGGAATTAGGGTTGTGCCTGCAATGTTCGCAAAGCAAATGTAATCTGGGAGGATCGCACCAGTGTCATGAGCGGCGGCCTGCAGCATGCGGAGGGCAATGCTTGCCGGCCTCGGGAAGAGGACGCTGTTGGGAGAGTTATTGCATTATGAAACTAATTATTAGATGTATTAAAAGAAATATGATCAACAAAACAACGCCGAATGGACAGCCAGAACCAAGCGCACCTATTTCGTCAAGGCCTGGGGGCCAGGAGCAGCACTCTTCGTGAACTCCTGGAAGATGCTTGCCAACGTGTTCACCGTGCCGGGCAAGTCGGCAACCGTAGTTTCCAAGGTATCAATTAGCTGCTGACCTATCGCTCAAGCCTCTGTTGTTTGAGACGTGCCGCCCCGCCGCTGTCGATGCATGCCAAAGCGCTAGCCTCGTCTCTTTGCACATTTCCTCATTCAGTAATGTTGGAGTTCATTTGCACATTTTCTTACTTGGGCTGTAGGACGAATCAAACGCGACTGGCGCTTGCAGCTGACATTGGTCAGGCGAGTGCGGGGACGCTGTGGTGTGGAGACGAGAGGATGACGTCCTCTCGCGCGACTGTGCAGCACCGCGGGACATCTTTTTACCGCAAGAGCGGCATGTGACATTTGCCCCTCTTCCTGATATCAAACGATGCATCGCAACATCGACATCGCCAACAGACCCATCCGATGGCTTCGGGCTCGTTACTGTCAGAGCAAGAGATACAGAATGCTCTTTCGACCACAGGTTATTTGAAGGTACACGATGCTGTTCTAGCGCAACGTGTCCAGCAGATGGACGATGACGGCGTTGCTTTCGCATCGCAGCGCGGTTTGCTCTTTTGCAAAGACAATGTCCTGGACCACCAAGTTAGTATTGGTTATCTATGTGCATATGAGTCATGATCTAAGCATTGGCAGCTCATTCGGACAGTCATCAAATCCTCGTTCAGCTGGTGTGCATTGGGGCTTTACAGGTCTATTGGGCCTGCTCGTCAAGTCTGCACCTTCGAGAGCGCTCCCGATTCTGAAATGGAAACCCTCATCATTATGCTTTGGGGCAGGCAGTCCAAGATCCACTTTTGGCCAGATTCTCACCATCACTGGTTGAAGCCTGTCGAGGCAGCAAATTCCCTGTTGGCTGTTGCTCGAACGCATTTGAAAGAACTCGGCCTCAGACCCGAAACCGAGACCCTCGATGATGGCGGCTTGTAAGTTACTTTGACAGCCATCAGTCTCTCGCCTAATTTCATTTACAGTACTATTCACGACTCCCGCGTCGCCTTCGAAGTTGAAAATGGTACAGCGATCACGTTTGCTGTTGGGACAAAGGAGGCAATGAAGGCATGGCATCCGATGGAGTTATCGGCACGGCTGAATCATACGGTCAATGAAATGGAAAGTACAAACTTTAAAATCAACGTCAAATACGCCTCGGACCACGAAGCAGATTCGGCAGGATAGCGTATGGACAGGAGGGAAAACCATTGTTAAAAGAACATATGCCCCGTATGGCCAGTTTGAGCCGCCTCATCTGCGGCCTGAGCGGTCAACATGCCGAAATATAACGTGCCCCGTGGTTCCGTATCTTCATGCACCATTGGGTCCAGATGTCGTGTTTGCTGTCCACAATCGTAGGTCGGTGTTATCGTATTATGACGAAACATTGGCGCAATCTTTCGAGAAGATGACAAGCTTGGTGATCCGGCCATTTGGAAAGAACTAAATGAAGGGTCGTCTCCTACATTGACAGACAGAGCGGGTCCCAACTGAGCGTTCGAGTAGTTGGACGACCCGGCCATGCTCAGTGAGTCGACGGGTGGACAATGGCCGTTGGCCACCATGTTCGCCAGATTTGGACCAAGCTGAGACTCGTACTGCTGTCCTATTTCATAGTTTGGAGTTATGGTGGCGCTATGAAACATTGGAGCGATCTTGCGCGCAGGCCAATAGTTAGGCATTTCAAGCACGCCAGAGGGCAATGACGAGGCTAAATCGCCTGAGAAATCCGCATCAGGCGTGTCGGTGTTACTTGAAAAAGAAGATGCCGGTATTTGATGCACCATGGGCGCATCAGTAGTCGCGTCTCCTGGTTCAATGGGATGCGCTGGGGAGGCCTCAACCGCACGACTAGTAGCTGAATCACGAGGCTTGCCGTCGAAGGAGACCAGCGAGGTATCTTCATTTGAGTTCGCCTTCCGTTTCTTTCCCAACCGCATCACTGAGCACAGATTCGCCATCTCGTGTGGTCGTTTTCGATCCTGGAGGGTCGGGAGGGAACGATCGTTCTGATACAGCTTATCGATGATATAATTTTGAAGTTGCGAGCGTCGCTCCGTCACGTAGTACTTCTTCGCAGCATTGTCTCCGCGATTGTCACATTTGTGTCCAAGATAACGAGAGGCTTGAGTGAACAGCTCACGGCAGTGAACACAAACCTCAAAGCATTGGACATCTGCTGTGGCTTAGTAGGTGCTCACATAAATGAGATGGGGTTGGTACGCTTCCCAAAGTGAGCAACCAAGCGTGTCATTCTCATGAACCGCTTGTCGCATCTTGTATCTGGACATGCAAACTCCCGAGTCTTCACTGGCGCAACGCAGTCGCCTTCGGCTTCCGATTCATTGTTATCGTTGAATGCGTCGTCGTCATTTTCGAGTATTTCGTTCTCGTAAGGTGTATCGTGGGAGCAGTATTCGCAGCCTAAATGATTGGACGGATTCCAAGGCATGCGGTGTCGACGTGGAGGCAGATGCAGTTGAGCTTCCTGTATCCTGGTCGAATGCCGGTTTATCTCGACCTTGAGCGAAGGAAAGTCAGCAAGGGCCGCCAACGGACGACAAAACGCGCACCTGATAACCCCAGATATGTTTCCGTAAGTCGTCAATTGAGCCAAATGTGCCGTAACAAGTTTGGCATTGTGTGGACATTTGCGACGTGGCCATTATACGGGATTTTGAATGAAGGAAGAGTACCATGGGTATGTTGGAGACGGTGAGGCGGTTCAATTGGCAGCCGGCGGGGAAGCTCGGTCGGCTCCAGTGATCACGTGTCGAGACCCCGCGAGGATCCATGCCCCAGCAATAAATAGCCTCATGACACTAGGGACACGCCAATTTTTACCAAGTCTTCCATTTTTTCCCTCAGACACCTCGCAAATCGTCTACGAGCACACTATTGGAAAGATGCCTACAACATGCTCCGAGTGCAATGGCACCGGGTACGTTGGCGGATATGTCTGCTCCAAATGTAATGGGAACAATTAGAGCTATCGCTCGGCTGAGCTGAGCACTCTCAAAATGTGCGACTTTTCTATCCGCCATTCGGGTATGGGATAAACAGGCTGACATATGAAACATTAGTACCTCGGGGAAAGTGGCAAGCGGGTTGGTGTTGGTACTCGCGGTGCGGATAGACAGACGCTCTTGAGAGAGAAGAGAGGAAACAGGGTGGGGCAATTCACAGCTGTTCAGCAACGTTGATGACGACCACGGCCGTATTCGAGATCGTTCCGAGAGACATGATGTCAGGCTCTTCTACCCAGAAACCATTTCGCAAAGAACCATGTTGCGGCCCGCGCCGGCTTCAGCAGGCTTGCATGAGGATGCAGAACCCCAGTTATCGTACATTTCCCTATTTGGAAGTTGCGGGGACCGAGGGGGGCGATGATAGGCCTCCTCGCTTAGCGCGAAAGGCCAGGTTCCTCTGAGGTGCAGATTTCACTCCAACTTCATGAAACTTACAGTTCCCGGCTGCGGGGAGGAGCTTGGACTGGCCGCTGCCGTATAGGTAGTCAAACATCTATATAGAGTCCATCCCTCGTCTCGAAAATGGGAGGGAATCTGACTAGGCATATCTCACCTTTGTGCAAACGCCAAACAGCCTTTCTTCAGCATTTTTCTGGACCCTTTGATCACCAAATTCCGCCTCTGATCATCCCAACATGCCCAGCAAGCCGGAACGCGATTCAGCTAGGTCACCAGGCCGAGTCGGGGAAGATTCATGGACTCCTTCGCGAACCGCTCGAGAAGTGGAGTCTGCCGATGACAGTGGGCGCAGCGCAAGCGAACTCTTGGGAGACTACAAGTACGACTGGAATGATCTCGATGTTGTGGAGGTACGAGCGCTTTCCCGCCCTTGGTGAGCCAAGCTGACCTTTTAGAAAATGATGGCGAATATGGAGGCTGCCGAGGATCAGCCACCGAGTACCAGAGCGAACGCGGTAGAACGTCAAAAGCGTTCGACCGGCCGCTCGCTCCCTTCTCACGCGGCTGGCAGCAGTGATAGATCCTGGACGCAATCTAGGTACGATAGGTCTACATCGATGAGCGATCTCCCAGGTGGCCCAGCCTCAACTTCGAACAACATAGCAGATGCGTCTCCACACCCTCCTACTGCAGATGACGGCACTCAGGCGAATATGTCAACTCCACTAAATGTTCAGAAAGACTCGCTCCAAGACTCTTTGGCCGGACAGCAGCAATTGAGGATAGCACCGGCCATGGACGGGTCTGAGGGGCGCGAAGGACGCTAGATACGAGTAGCTTTGGGTTCCCATACAGTCATTACCGTTTTAATTTGAGAATGTTTCGACTGCATCCATCTAATCCTTTCCTTGCCATCAGTACCACATTGTCCTTCTTGCGCTACTATGTCCCTTCACTTGGTCAATGCTTTTCTTGTCCGCAAGCTGAGACATCCCAGAGGCGCAGGTTGTACAAAATGGTACAGAGTGTGCCCAACCTTGTCGTCAACCTGACCTGCTGCATTATGTTAGGCGGAAAGCTCGATCGTAACGGAAATGGCGACAATGATTTTCCGGGATTGCGAGCGAGCGCCAAAGGAAACGAGGTGCTGAGACACGTGACATGTCTTAGCTGGATGATGTACTGGGTATACTATATACCGGTCTCGGATATCATAAGGCGGTATCGCTTACATTGCCCACGCCACAGCCCCGCTCCAAGTTGAGGTCGTCGATAACTGACGTGGTGCTGAACTTGCTGCAACGAGTGTGAAACTTTCGCCATCGAAACGTCAACTCTTTACTATAGCTCGCTAACAGCAGCATCATATGCTGCTAGAATGGGTGTATAGAGTTGGTCTGGGTCTCCTGCAGGGGTTCCAAAGCTCATTCTTTCATCTTCGTCCAAGGGGAAGAGGATCTTCCTAATCCTCAGACAGAGCGGCTTAACAGCATCTAACGCCTCTGGGAATTCGCCCATGATGCCTTCCAGCCTGTTCACGGTCATGTCACCTTCTTTAGCAGCTGCAATATACTTGAAGCTGCCGATTTCCCATCTTCGAAGAAGGCTCTCCTTCGGCGGCTTCTCTTCACCAGCAAATCCATTACTCCATGACTGGCGCGCACACATCCAGAGCAAAACGTAGAAGAACGACTCCAGGTCATGGCGGTAGGTGTGGTCGACCATGCGCAGCACCTCCACTGCCATGAACTGCATTGTGCCCGTCTGGTGCCGCGCTCCGCTCGGGCCGCTGTCTCTCACCTTCGCCAGGTCGAGGTCGATGAGCATGCCCTTGAAGCCACCCGCCATCTCGGGCTTCGTAATAATGATGTTATTTGATGAGATGTCGCGGTGGAGAATGTTGCCAGTGACGTACAGAGACTGGTGAGCCTTGATTGCATCTTGCATCGACTCCAACAGTTCCTTGATGGTTCTGAAGTCGCTAATAACACGGCCGGCTGGCGACACCACGAGGCAGGAATATATCCTATTTTCCCACAGGTCCTCGCCAGGCGTGTACAAGCTCGGCTTGGCTCTGCCGATAGACCGCTGGTTATTTAGTTCTCGGACCAGCCGCGACTTCTGACTGTTAGACCGCCGCCTCTTGGATCCGGACGCGTCGTCGGATGTGTGGTCGGACGATGACTTGCGCTTTTGGCCCAACGAGTTCGTGCTTGTGGTGGTTGATGGCGGTTCGTCAAAGTGGACGTCTTCGTTCCGGAACCGATGACGTTCCGGAAACTCCAAGCCATTGCGTACCTCTGCAATGGTAGTGATTTGACGATGTGCCACCACTTTGGCCACTCCCTTGACGCCCCGTTCTTCTGCTAGCTTGAGCTGTTCCACCTCCAGTTTCCGCTTATCCGATGCCCACGAGAACTTCGCGACGTGGCTATTTCGAGTCTCAAAGCACGTGGTCCCTCGACAAACGACTGCCTTCTGCCTGACTATCGGGCTCCTCAGCCTAACCTTCGATTCGTTGCCATTTAGGTCGTCCAATATGACACAGCGATGCCCGTCCTTTCGTTCGATGAATGTGTCCAGGCCCATCGCATCGTCGTCCATTGTGGCATACCCAACAAAAGCGCGCGCAAATTTATCCGGCTCGTCATGAATGTCAAATGGTCCAGAGCTGTATGGTCCAGATCGATCGAAGACCCAGAGCTCCATCGTGGACGCGCAGAGGGAGAACGCGTGGACAAATCGGCGCGTCGGCTGGTCGGCGAAGACGCCTCGCACATAGCGCGTAATCTGAAGAAGGTCCGCCTTGAATCTGCCCGTGTCGTATGACTTCTTTTGCTCTCCAACGACAAGGACATGCTTGTACCAAAAGGTGCCGTCCGTTTTCTTGGCTGGCGTCTGGAAGAAGACATCCATCTGGCCTTTCCGTTCCTGGAACTGGTGGGCGGTTTTAGTGGTATGAAGCTTGTACGAAGCATCGGCTAGGAAGCGCTCCTCTAGTGAACGGAACCAGTCCCAGACCGGCTTTTCGTCTGAAGGGGTCGGGAAATCTGTCCATCTCTTTCCGTCGTGTGCTGTCATCATCTCCCTCAGCATTGCTTTCTGCTCTTTGCGCCAGCGCTTAGGGTCAAAGAACTTGTCGCAGAATCCCTTCACATTGCGAAAGGTGCAGTCCTTTATCTCGAAGAAGAGTTCTCCCTCGACGACGTCGCGCGTTTCGCTATCGGCAAGTCGGCTCGAGCTGGTTTTAATTGGTGTTCCTTTGAATGTCGGGGCGATGCCGGACGGGGGAGGAGTGAGGGTGCTAAGAGAATCGATGACGGTGAAGACAGCTTCCCAGACGTCGATATCAGGGGAATCGTCAATGACATGGCGGACCAGAGGATGGAATTGCTGGGTCTTTACTTCGCCTCCTCGGACACATTGTAGGATAGATAGCAGCTTGACTGCGACGCTACCGCTTTCGTCCGGCGAAGGAAGGCTAAACGCAGCTGGCGAAGCAACTAAAGCCGAGAGAAGACTCGCAATATCTTCTTGTCGCGGGTCGCTGGTCTCGTTGAAGTCGCGCAACTTTTCTCGGAAAGAATCAAGAGCATCATTGAGTGGACGTTCCGAAATGATCTTGAGGTGCTTTGCTGTAAGGGGCATTTTGATGTCGTGTGAAGAGCATGGCTAATGTACAGTCTGTTGAGATAGCGAGGGAGAGGTAAACAGAAAACAAAGCAGACGCGACAGCACACGTGTTTGCAGGGTTGTGACAGCTGGCGCCCAAACGCCAGACGGCAAGAATAGCTAACCCATTTTTGGAAAGTGGGGCTACCATGACCATTGGTCGGAGCTGGTCGGCGGCTTCGAAGGTTCCATCTTGTTCTATACGAATGTAGTGGCTGTCTCCTGTTCCAGCCGCGGCGGGACCTCCCAAGGACACTTCTTGAGGAACCGCTCATATAGATGAGGCTGAAACACGAATGTGTTACTGTTTTCTTCTTCTTCTACCTCCAAGGACAGGCCTCGACACCCTTCAGGATAATCAGCCCTTCGGATCACGCGCTGTCGCAATACTCAATTACTGCATCGACCCAGCGCCACAGCCGCCCATCTGCCACAAATTGTGGATTCACCTTGGCTGCCAATGCCACCTTGCGCGCTATCGCTAGTCGCTTGGAGCCTACTGCGTTGAAGTACTCCTTCTCCCGCCGACGGGTTTCGCTTTCTGGCTCGTCGTCAGCTGCTAACTTGCTAGCGAGCGCGAGCGCTTCCAGGGTCGTAGCTTTTGTTGCCATCATAGCTGGCAGGCTGTTGATGTCATAATCGTCATCTTCGGGAGATACCCGTCGCCGGGCAAGCACACAGAGTGTCTCGAGGTGACCATAGTCTTGTAAAGCATCCAGATTCACCAAGCGCATGTAATGTGAGACCATCTGCGCGACTTTCCAACAGTCAGGTTCGACAATCAACCTGTCGGCATTGCTATCCTCGCTTTCGAAGCCAGATCGGAAGGCATTTGCCAAGGACAAATCCAACACCAAGTCTCTGGGATGTGGTAGGCCTGGAGTAGCGAGCAGCTGTGCTGGAGGAACAGTGGAGGAGAATGCCCAGTCGATGACACATGTAATGTTCAAGTCATCGTCGACAAATATGTTCTGGACACTAATATCATGGTGATGGAGGGGGAAGCCGAGGGTTGACTGGTTGTCAGGAAGTATCATACCGGGGATGATGGAGTCCCGCAGGAGTTCGGTCGCGATGCAATACTGCAGTCGATTCATGCTTGAGTCCACTATTCCTCCAAGGGTCACGAAGTCATTCCAGCGATCAGTAGCGGCGTAGTACTTGCTGAAGGTGGGGTATTCTTCCGGGACAGGAACAGGCGCACGGAGAACATGATGTCCCATTGGAAGCTGTGGGTAGCTGAGTGGGACCGGCAAGAGCATAAATTCAGGGCATCTCCGTGACCTCGTCCACGAAATTCTCAACCTGGAAACCTCTTCAGGCTTTTCTACAATCACCGTACTATACCATCTCAACTATGCCGGTAGTTGACCTTCTATCGGTCTGTTCTACCACATTGATCCATATATGCTATCAAGGGATCGTGAACGGAGATATGTCAAAGACACGAGCTACATGATATGAGCCCGTTCGGCGAGTGTTTTTATAAACACACAGATTATGTACCCAGAAGTGACGAATCTCAAGTCCTACAAGCCCTACAGTCGCCTCGGATAGCTCCCTATCCCTCCACAAGCCCTGGCTCACCAAACTTGGCACTGCCCCTCGCTATGGGCTTGATTTGCTTGAGATTTCCCCTTGCAAAATACACAGCATATCTTACGTGGGTTGACACTTCGCGAGTGCCGTTTGACCTCGATTTCACACCCAGTGCATTTCCAGATGTACTCAAAGTTGATCTTGTAGCCATGTCTGGTGGTCACGTTCACTCCGCGCGCGCCAAATACCAGAGAACATTTCCTCGCCCACTGTCTAAACTCCTTGCCATGTGGATTGGTGATAATTTTGGTGATCATGAAGGTTGCCAAGTGACAAAATTCATGCGCGAGCGTATTCATCAGCTTGTCCTCATCATCGACGACCTTTTCGGCTAGCTCAATAGTTGCATAGTGGTGGTGCTTGATTTCATCGCCGTCAACTCCATAATTGTGAAGGCGTATCTTCGAACGACGCCATGTGGCTCGGCCAGCCGTAGTTCTGAGGGTTTTGGACCAGGTGATCTTCACACCACCTGTCGAAAGGACGAGCTGACCAAGCTGACCTTGCGTGATAGATTGATCAAGTTCGCGCAAGAAACTGTAAGCCAACGCATGTTTTCTTGTATCAAACTCCCGCCTCTTGATACAATGGTGTCGATGCTCGTGCAACTGCTTCCCCGGGTCGGATGAGCCACCACACTCGCAATGTGAGTGCGCGATGGCAGACTGGTGTAGGCCCGAACTCTCAACAAAGGTGGATTCCAAGCCCATCTCGATTGTCACTCAGGCTGGCTTTTGTTTGGGAAGAGCTGGCCATGAGAGACAATGTTCGTCATAAGGTAGGCACCATGGTTCTTATATCCAGATTCCCAGGTTCCTCCAGCATCCTGCTTAGCAATTGCGCTCCACATATGCATCTCAATGAAAGCCCCGCCACAAGGCATTGATGAAAGAGCTGAAGACTGTCATTGAACCGGATGAGATGACTAGACGTCACGTGCCTCAAGACCCGCTAGGTTCTTCTCACGCAATATCACTTCGAATCACATGTAAGAGGAGCCTTGTGCCAGCGTCTCTCGCGTCTGCGCCTCATCATTCCTGATGCGTGCGGCCGCGATTGCTTCCTGTTGAAATATCGTTCGCTGAGTTCGAAGATACTGGTAGGGCTGGATTACTCTAGTTGACAATAGCAGACTTGACTCTTGTTTTTCCGTACGTAGGAGGTGGGAGCTCCGACCTAAAGTGATGATGCACTTGCATTGATAACCAGAAGCTGCCGGCTTCGCCCGATTAACTGTCGAAATCTGCGCTTTGGAGACCTTGTCGCTGCTCCAAGCTTTTCGTCGATTTCCAGGCGGCCACATATGACATAAAGGTAAAGAAGTCAGTTTATCAGTAACAGTAAGCGCCATGAATAACTCGGCACCTCCAAAGCAGCCTACAGAGTCGTGCGACAATCTCGCACTGTCCCCTTTCCAGCGGTCTCATAGACAAAGTATGCGATGTACTTCGTCAACATATACACCATAAAGCCCCAGTCCTCGCTTCAGTTTTGTGCTCTTGGGTTCTTTGGCTCAAGAACGTCTATCTCGTGTCTCTTTCGACGATGACACTAACAGGTAGACCACCGACAAGGATGAGGACCGTGTCTCGCCTGCTTTGGGGCCTAACCTTACTCCTGTGTTTTCTGATCGCGGGGTCCCTTCCCGCCATCGTCATCGCCTGGCTTTGGTCGTATGTTCGGTCCCACTGCATCCAACTAGTGTATCGTCTACTATTGTGAGCCAGACCGATAACGTCTTTGCCATACGCTAATTGAGAAGTCCCTTCCTGCTGAAATCGGGAGCAGGTAAAGGGCATTTGACCGTGCAAGAAAGCTTGATTGGCTGTTGTACCTATGTAATCTACCTATCAAGTGTCTACGTGATGCCATCCCTTTTCTGAATAACACGGCCACATACAAGTCAGAGCAAGCTATTTCTCCCTGCCCCACCGCCGCATCGTGTCGTTCAACGCTCTGACACGAGCAATCACCGCATGGGGATAGGTTGTCGCTCTACTAGAGGCCAGTCGATTCCTCATGCCATGCCGGACCCTCGTCTCCCCCACCACACACCGGACTTGTGGTGGTACTGCACAAGGTATCTGGTCAATCGATGGCGTGATGGGAGAGCCATACTGGGGATGATGGTCGGTAAAAGTACCGTCGTCATCGGGCCCAGCCGAACGCGTGTACAAAACGTCGTGGGGCTCTAACCAAGGGGTTCCTTTGGCTACGCATAGCCCACCTGCAAACGGTCCAGAAGTTCTAGGCACAAGTGGCATGCCAGGGGCAGACAACTGTGTTTGGTCATTGGCCGTGTCAGCGACACAAGCGGCGTAGTCTGGTGGAGACAGGCTTGTGCCAATTGCACGAAGTTCCCGCTCCAGTTCATGCATAGTGGACTGACTGAGGAGAAGAATTGCTGTCAGGCGATTGTCGACGTGCGCCAAGCGATGTGCATTGCGTTGATAGATGACAATAAATGAAGCAGTTGCCCGGAGGAAGCTAATCATCAGCTGCATGTCAATGGCGGGACATCTTGCTAGCTTTGGTGTCAATTGGTGTAATCAGCCTCAGTACTTGTTGATGGTTGAACGTCGCCCATGTTCAGTTTATACTTAACTATAGACATTATAATTCTGGCTGGAGTACAGTAGCACTAGGCAGGATTGCCGATGGGGCTGTGATGCGTGCATCACGTTCCACACCCACAGCCATTTTGGGAACGAACCAGACAGGAGGAGATCTTCAGGGCGTGCGCAGGGTACAAGGGCCGTCCACGACGTGGGAAATCGGCTCAGAGGATGCCATGCAGAAGCCAGATTCAACTCGACCGTATCATATTAGCGGCCTGTACTAGCCACCGTTGGACCATACGATCCAAGGATGTCCATCTTCTCCCAGCAAATCATTGTGTACCAAACTGGAGAAGGTGGGACAAGGCTCCCATTAAACAGAAACGGACACGACTAGTCATTTCGCGCCGAAAACATGACGGAATGTGAAATTAGTGGATGTAGGGTTACAGCCATGGGTTGGGGAACCCATCTCCAAACAGCATGAAGACTCGTTGCCAGAAGCTACGTTAGATCAGAGGTATGGAAAGGCGAAACTCGGGCGAACACTGGGCTACTGCTTACGGTTCAGGTTTGACTTCCACTACTCTGCGAGATCTTCTCTACCTTTGCTAAAGTACTGTGCTGCCTAGGTCAATCCTTCTTGGCCCTGTTTTAGAGCATGACGCGTGATCCTGACTTAATGGGAGAGGCCTCATTGCCCAGTCATTTCCAAGCAGCCACTTGGCTCCGAGAGCCGTCATGTCTATCTAGCCGCTCCACTGGGGCTCGCAGCCACGATCTGAGTGGGTATGATGCCTTGCCTGGGGCCTCCTGTCCGGGCCAGGCTACCCATGACTGATGACATTTCAATGTGGCAGCCACAATTGACCATCACAAGACTTGAGACGAGAGGGTGTGGCGGCTCCGCCATCATTGCGGGTACCTGCCTCGGGATTTCTTGTCGTGTGGCAGCCATCACACTGAGAGGGTGTGATGCTCCGCCAGCATCTGGCTTGGCCCCACCCTCTGCCAAGCTCTCTGTGACCTCGGGCTAGGATGCCAAGCACCGCTCCCTGCAAGCTCGCAGCCACAATGGAGCGCAAGAGGCGGCTGGATCCGAGTGGGTGCGATGCTTCTGTGCTTTGGCTGCTTGCCGTGTGGCAGTCACAGTGGGTCACAGGGAGCTGTGACTGGAACGGCTGCATTCTGCCTGGACTACCCTGAGCGGTGTCCGCATCGGGTTTCCTCAAGCACCAGTGAATGAGTGGAAGTGCCCAAGCTTCATGGAAGTGGTGGTCCACAACAAGCACGCAGGCACCGACGACCTTCTGGACGGGGGAGAATACGGCACGTTTCGGTCACCAGGCTCGATCTCAACTAAGTCCAAGGATTGACTATGAAGAATGCTGAAACATCCGATCGTCGACTCACTGATGACATGTCCGCTCATCGTCCGCATCAGCCTGCTTCCTTATACCAAGACCGCGCGTCATACTCAAGGAGCGGCCACAAACGGATGGACCCAGGGAGCACACACCCACTGATGCTTGAGGAAACCCGATGCGGACACCGCTCAGGGAAGTCTAATTGATAGGCAGAATGCAGCCGTTTCAGCTACGGAGGACGAGTTCAAAAGTTATGCGTTGCCAAGAAACTAGCCATAGTTGGCGTCTAGCCCGAAGTAGCCCCCCGGGAAGTTTATCACCAAA